CACTCGCGTCGACCCGAGACCTTGAAGATTGACATCTCTAAGTATAGGGGAGTTGAAGAGGACTCCCTCTTGAGATGGTTCGTCGAATTAGACGACGCCATAAGGGCGCGTCGCATCGACGACGGGGATATGTAAGTTGCATTTGCCCAGTCAAATCTGGCAGGACGTGCCAAGACTTGGGCACTGGGGCTCAAGTTGCACGACCCATATGCGTTTGGGTCGTTGGAAGTCTTCAAGTCGCGGCTCAGTCAAACATTTGAACCGCCTAGAGCTGAGTTCAGAGCTCGAACTGAACTCTTGAAGCTCAAGCAAGGTAAGCGTGATGTGCACGCTTACGTGCAACACATACGACATCTCACGAGTTGTATAAGTTCCAATCTGGTGGATGAACGCACGTTGGTTTCGGTATTCATGCAGGGTCTTGCGGGATGGTCCCGTCAAGACTCACCTGTTCCGGCTTGAACTAGATTCACTAGAACAAGCCGTTTCCATTGCGGAACAGGAAGACTTCAGTCTGAGACAGGCTTGCGCCAGCTCGACATCATATCGTCAACCGAGACGATATGACAGCAGAGGTCCAGAGCCGATGGAACTCTGTTATGTAGAGAGCGAGAAGGCTCGCTCTACAGACTACAAGAAGTTGCAGAAATGCAACAGATGTCAGAAGACAGGACACTACGCTTACGAGTGTAGTGCCCCTCGTCCAGAGTCTCGCAACACTGGGCGTAGTGACCGTCCACCCATGAGAAAGGGGCAGGTACGCGGGTCCGCTGTTGGTGCAAAGACGCAACAACGGGATGGACCGTCAAAAAACGGACAGGATCAGTAGGTGCGGAGCACCCTACTGGTCCAGCAACGTCAAGAGAATTTGTAGGCCTCTTGATGAAGGTTGCTCCCAACACACAAACGTTGTGCGTTGCTGCTCTAGGTAATGAGATCTCACTCATTACCTTGAAACTCGAAGTGACAAGTAAGTTGTCCCTTCGAGCTCTAGTCGATTGTGGGGTGTACAACAATTTTGTGCGACGCCAATCGCTAGAAGATGGTCATTTTAAGTTCAGTGAATGTGACACACCTCCTACGAGGATGACGGTACGTCTTGTGACAGGCGCATCCGTAACCGTCATGAAGCGTATAGTGAAGATCCACTATACGCTAGAAGATACCCAATATGACGATGACTTTATCGTATTGGATTTGGATGACAAATTTGATGTCATCCTTGGAATACCGTGGCTCAGAAGGTACGAACCACGGGTAAACTTGCAACATCGGACAGTAACGATGCCTGCCGCTTGTTCATCAGATGGCCATCTGATGAACGTTTTGGAGCGTCCACAAGCGTGTGGATGTACTACGAGTGAGTGCGATGGCCTCACTTGTGGTACGGTCGTTAGTGCGACTGCACAAAACCTTAGTGTACCAAACGGTTACACTTCGGAGCAAGATTCCGTCGGCTGTGAGGAAACACAGGCTGCGCCGAAGGTCCACCACTCGAATAAGTCGAGTGGACTGGGACAAAGATGTATCCCTAGCGGGGAACATCTAGAAGAGAAACGATCGATCGCTCAGGTTAAGCGAAACGATAATCCTAGATCGACTGGAGAGTATTTCGTAGAGGATCTCGCTGTGGTTGCGCAACCCCAGCTAGAGGAAGTAAAGGGAATAAGTCCCAAGATTACAAATACGGCAGAAATAAGTTCCCCGAAAACCGCGGGAATAAGTCCCCGGGAAGCCGAAGGAATAAGTCCCCAGGAAATGACAGAAACATTGAATGTCATAGTCAATAACGGATCAAGTGTAGGCGCTTACACACTTGATCTGATTGCGCCTCCGAAGTTGACTTCGGAGATCACTCAGTTGCCAACTCTCGAACATAAAAGGTTCTTGCGTGATCTGCGTAGTGGCAAAGTCAAGCAGATCTGCATACTCGTCGCTGACGACGAGTGTGTAGCCGACATAAGGTCAGCAACAGTGTTTACTGATCACGAGAGAGTTCTCAGTAGTTCATCTAAGGACGAGAGTGTCCTCGATGAAAAGACACGAATTGAGCGATATGACTTTCAATCGTGGAAATCCTCAAGACAAATCCTCTCTATGAAGATTTGGTTGAATTCAAGGATGTATTCCCTGAAACTGTTCCGTGCGAGTTATTGAAGGATAAAGGTATTCGACACGAGGTCGAGCTTAAACCAGGCTCGAAGTACTGTGTCATGAAGCAGTGGCCACTGCCTCGTGAACAAGTACTTGCGATCGACAAGTTCTTTGCCGATCGTTTAGCTGCGGGCCATGTGAGGGAATCAACTTCCCCACATAGCTCTCCGACCTTCTGTGTGCGAAAAGCAACAGGAGTGTGGCGGATAGTGCACGCATTTAACAAGTTGAATGCTGCAACGTTACCGGATCAGACGCCGATACCGAGGAAGGACGTAATCATCGATGGTATGTCAAAAAGTACCATCTTTTCGTCCATGGATTTGATGGATGGCTTCTATCAAATCCTTATGCGAGAACGGGATATACCCTATACCGCAGTTAGCACGCCTAGCGGCATGCTCTGGGAATGGCTAGTAATGTCACAAGGGCTTAGTAATGCCCCTGCCACGTTCAGCAGATGTGTATCACATTTGTTGAGACCAGTACGAGAATTCGCGCCGAGTTATTTCGATGACATATTCATCCATAGTCGGGCTATGGATGGAAAGTCGGACGTTGAGGTTCACAGATACCACGTCCGACAGGTTCTTACAATCGTGCGAAAGCATCAATTGTATGCCAACCTCAAGAAGTGTATATTTGCAGCAAGCAAAATGCCACTTCTTAAGTGCATCGTTGGTAAGAACGGTGTACGTCCTGATCCCGAAAAGATCAAGGCGATCACCGACTGGCCTGTGCCAGTTGATGTCAAAGGTCTTCGAAAATTCCTTGGGCTAGCGGCGTATATGCATAAGTATTCACGCAATTACGCCGAGATGACTGTGCACCTCTCTCGTTTGTTGAAAAAGAACGAGAGGTGGGTATGGAACGCTGAATGTCAGCGCTCCTTTGATGGTATCAAGCAGAGCTTGATACAATCCCCAGTCCTAGCAATAGCCGATCAAGACAGGCCATTTCATGTGGTCTGTGATGCCAGCGATTTCGCAATCGGCTGTGCATTAATGCAGTACGACCTAGAAGGCGTTGAACGCGTCGTCTGCTATCAGTCGCGTCAGCTGCAACCAGCTGAGCGGAACTATCCAGTGCATGACAAGGAACGCCTTGCCATGAAGTATGCACTTGCGAAGTTCAGAGTCTATCTATTAGGAGATAGATCCTGCATTGTTTACACTGACCATGCGTCATTACGCACGGCAGTGAACAGCCCGCACCTTTCACAACGAATGGCGCGGTGGTTGTCATTCTTTGCAGAATACAACTTTACGGTCGAGTACAAACCAGGACGACTTAATGTCGTCGCTGATGCACTCTCACGTCGTCCCGACTTTGAACCAGTCGTGAAACCCAACAGTGAGACAGTCACTGTTGCGGTTATGACGTCCTCAGTACCATCTTCAACGTTGCATGGTGATGTGAGGCGGGCATACGCCCAAGATGATGAGATTGTGAAGTTGTTGACACATCTCTCACAACCGTCTCGAGAATCGTTGAAATGATTGTCGCCTGCGTATCGACCTGCATCAGATCGATACACTACTCGTAACGGTTTACTGTATTATACAGCCGTTTCTGGTGACACACCATGTGTTGTCATTCCAGATGATACTGATCTGCGTTTGCGGATCATGTTCGAGTATCACGATGCTCCTATAGGAGGACATCGTGGCCGGGAGAAAACACATCTCACGGTGAGTCGAGACTTTTACTGGCCCCGCCAGTATCAGTTTGTGCGAAAGCTTGTTCGCGCATGCGAAGTCTGCCAACGAGTGAAGTCAAGTCCTTCACTGCGTGAACCTTTACAGCCTCTACCAGTTCCGGCTGAGTGCTGGGAATCCATCTCAATGGATTTTGTCTTCGGGTTACCCAAAGACGCACGCAAGAATACGGGCATTCTCGTATTTGTTGACAGATTCAGCAAAATGGTACACCTTGTGGCTGTACCAGAGACAATCACGGCAAGTGGCTGTGCTTGTGTCTTTATCGACACCATCTTCCGACTTCATGGGTTGCCCCGTGAACTCGTATCAGACACAGAGATCCACGATTCACTGCTGATTTCTGGCGTTCCGTGTTCAAATCACTCGGAACGCGCTTGAAGATGTCTACATCTGATCATCCAGAGTCCGATGGTCAGACGGAACGTGCCAATCGTGTCCTCGAAGAGATACTTCGGGGATACGTACACTCCTTTAAGAGTTGGAGTGAGTTCTTGCCTATGGTAGAGTTTGCCATTAACAACTCGGTACATGCGTCCACGACCCATACACCGTTTTACGTGAATGGCTTGCGCCATCCGCGTGTACCCACCTTACTAGAGTGTAACTCTGGTTTCAGGGGGGAAAGAGTCGCGCGAGCAAAAACCGATTTGGTTCACGCTCATCACGCTCTGACGAAGAGGTCATTGCGCTCGATGCCGATATCGATAACATCGATATCGAAGAAGATGATGCCAGTGAGAGTGCGGAAGCCCTCACTGAAGAAAAGGCTGATGTTGCTGCAGTGCGCTCACAGCACACTGAAGCTAACGAGTCATCAGATGAGTTCATACTGGCTCGTGAAACGGTAGTCCGTTTTGTGCAAGACTCCATCGCCGAAGCGGTGGATAAGCAAAAGCAAAACGCGGACAAGAATGGAAGGGCAAACACTCTTCTTATTTAATAAAGGTGACTTAGTCCTACTGTCTACGCTTAATCTACCAAAGCATGTAGTGACTAACTTAGGTAGCAGTAAACTACTACCCAAGTACATCGGCCCATTTCGTGTATTGCACCGCCTAGGCAATGCATACACGATCGAGTTGCCACGTAAGATGCGAACGCATCCCACGTTTTACGTTGGTCGGCTTAAGCCGTACCATCAGTACGCTGCTTCTTCCGATGAAGAACGCCCTTGCGCTCAAGCATCTCGCAGAGAGCTTTGTGCTCCCGATGGTGGGCATCGACAAGGGTCTGAAGAGCAGCTATCTCATCCCGAGACCGATCAATAGTCCCACGAGCTACCCTTAGCTCGTCACGAAGAGATGTCAGAGATCTCTCGTTCTCAAGCTGAGCAAAGGCAAACTCAGCTCGATGCTTCAAGGCAGTGTCCGCCATTTGGAGACGCCTGTCCCGCTCATGTTCGAGATCGCCGCGTAACCCTTGCGTTACGCGATCAAAGAAGCTCTCGGAACACACGGATCCCCACGATTGTGTGGAGAGCGTTTTCCCTCCTCCTCCACCTCCATTAGAGGACTCTCGCGGTGTCCAGCGCTATCTGATTGAGCGGCTGTTGAACCACCGCGACGTGTACGGACGTCGGACGAGTTATCTCGTCCAGTGGCGCGGCTATCCCCCGTCCTGGGATTCTTGGGAGCCCCGCTCCCAACTGATGGTTGACGTACTGGGTCTGGTTGAGCAGTACGACGCGGCACATACTGTGCCGCAGAAGGACCGCCGGAGAAAGTCTTCCCGGCACGGTCGTAAAGGGATTTCAGGTTGTCAATCCCTTTGTACATCTCAATAGAGATACGTATGCGCCACCACGGGCTAGTAAGGAGTTTAGCCTCCTTAGGTGCTCGTGCAGAGTTGTTCACACAACATGGGCACGGGTCTCCCCAGGAAAGACAGGGTAATCCTTTCTCCCTTGACAGACGATGCAGCTTGTAGCGTGCACCTGTCGGGGTTCGCTTTTCAAACTTATCACGAGATTTGATAAGTTTGTCGTTCCAAGCGTCACGACCTACATCCTCAAGGTTATGGATGTAGGCATTCCACGCTTGAAGTAGTGAGGGACCATCACGCTTGTGATTCCCACTGTACCATCGATGTCTAAAGAAAGCATCGATGAAGAATTCGTTTTCAGCGCGATAGTTTTTCGCGCTGGGGTCAAGGTGATGGATCCTTGACGAATCGAACAACCGTGTTCGATAACGATCACTCGTCGTCACCGACAAGTGATCCATGACAGATTTAGGAGGCATCCATGCCTTCTTCCCAGGAGCGAGACGCAAGACATTGCGGTCCCGCTCTTCCTGCGATGTGCCGACAGAAGTACTGGCACCTCGTTGCGAAGTGGTGTCCATAGGAGAACCACACCACTCTTAGCGCCCGAGTATCGCGACCTCGAGCGCCTTCGCTTCGGCGATGGTTCATCTGATTCATCAGATGAACCAAAGATGCTACGACGCAAAGCATCATCAATGCCACGCTTGGCAGGCGGATTGGTTTCGATCGCCGTCGATACGGATCCATCTTCCGTATCGGGAGAGTATGATACGCCGAGCCCCAACTCTGTGAAGACGTGAGTGTATTCATGACGAGCGTCTGCATCACCAGGTGACACAGACTGAGACGCTTTGGCAACCTATGACACATCGGTTGCAGCGGTTTCTGCTTCGGCGTCTGCACAGAGACAGGCAGACGCGCTCTCAGCTGCCTTGTTCGCGCATCGCATGGGCTTGTTTACCATGCGATGAAATTAATGGACTGTGGACTCGAACCAACAAGTGCAAACCCTGTCCCAAATGATTTGGGGCGAGTATCCATTTAGTCAATCAGTCACTAAAGTGACCGATGGTTAAGGGGGGGGTGATGTAACGGGGTGAACCATTACATAACAATTTATTAGAAATTGTTAATAGAATATAACTATAAGAGTTATATTCGCAGAATATTGTCATAAGGACAAATATTCTGCAGCACTTACGAGTAGTTCCTAATTGCTTGATATAGGCCATTATATCAACCAACGAAGACGCGCCACGACAGACGCACGCAATGAGTGGTGAGCAGATAGTTGATATACACATTTGTATTTAGACATAGTTAGATGAGGATAAACAGGGGGTTTATTACAGACATTAACTATTATAAATACAGTTCTACTTTTTACTTAAACTAAGTACTCGCTTCTTCTTACCGTCTTCCTCTGCACGTACGAGTGTACGTGAAGTTACGAGGCACGGCCTTATTCTGTCGTCAGAATAAGTAGCTTGTACTGTCACCAGTACAAGCATCAGGGTGCCCCGTTACAATAAGAGCCACTTGCTCGTTCCCAATCAACGCCGTGATCTTCTCAAGCGTTATCAGCTAGGCCTCAGAGAGGTTCATGGCATTTCCATCCTTGCAGAGGATCCAGCCTGTGCAGACTTAGGTTATGGTTGACTACAAGTGCTACCAAGTGTAGCGGAGCTACTTAGCGCTCCTTAGCAGAGAAAGTATTAGACTCAAAGAGTCTCTTAGTTATAACAAAGTAACAACGACATACAGTCGTTTAAGCGTACAAGCTTAACAATCCGGGTTTAAAGGGATTACGATTCACAGAATCACACACGAACTAGTCACTACTAGTTAAACAAGAGTAAGCGCCATCACAAGGCTTACAATCTTACAACGCACTACGTCTTGACTAGGCACTAATTTCCAACGATTCCAAAGAGAGCCGAACTTTTTATTCTTTTAGCTACGGTAATAAAACTCTAAAATCTTGCCTGGCTGACTTCTACATTACGATCTTATGACAGAAATTTGATCACTTACCCTCACCCGATAAGGTGCAATATTACCGTAAGCACGTGGTACCAAGACTGTACTACTAAGATCCACCGATCTTTTTTTAGTGTGGACACAACATAACCGGTTCAGATAATCGCGTGTAACCCCGTTACAAGTTTCACGTAAAAGGTTGGCGACTGCTACGGTCGATCTACAACGGTAGTACCCAGTATCTATAAAAGTAATAGCCACGGAACATTGGTTGCCAGGCGGCAGGATATCGGGTCTTAATATTGGAAATGTCGTTGTTTGTGGTACTAATGACCACATGGAAAGGACGAGACTGTATGATTGTGTGTCACGATGGGATCGACTCATCGTTTTGTTACTGAAATCGCATCGGTCGATATTAATAGGCTTAGAGTAGTTTAACGAGACGAACCAAGGACCCAGCTAAATAATATGTTTACTTTCCATTTTACCTATTTCAAAGCGTTTCAGCTTGAGACCGCTTTCGGCTGTTGCCAAAAGTCATGACTTACGCCTACCTGAACATGCCTCACCTTCTCACTCGCTCACACTGGACCACGACTACAGCAACTACGAGGCGTACAAAGCGGCGCTTTTGGACGATGTGACAGCATCTCGGCCTCACTCTTTGCGTTCGTTTGGCTGTTAGAATAGCAATAGCAACTGCTCTCGGTACGCTTTGACACGCAGACTGCTGTTCCTGCGAGTCAGTCTTTGCCATCGGTGCCACGCTAAACCCAACAGCCATGGCCGAAGACTATACTAAGAGGTTGGCTGCAGTATGCGGCAATGATGTGCTTGTACTCTCCTTCGTCTGCTTCTTCTCGTGCTTCTTCTATTGCCGTAGAAGGACTCCAAAGGTGCTGCTGGATGCAGCTACCTCGCTTTCATCTGATCTTGTTGGGCATGGGTCCGGATGACCACTGCGTTCGCTCTTCCTCCGGCCATCCGCTCCTGGGGGAGAAGACACTGCTCGTGACGTCCTAAGAGGACTCACCAAAGCCGCCGTTGCGGCGCATCATGCTAACTCCATCAGTCTTAAATAATGCTGTCAATGTACGTGCCTCAATTCTAGTCACCGGAATGTAAACAACCTATTGATGACACATCTCTGCTTTGGTGATTGCATTCGTCGCTACTGGAGCTAGCAAAACCGATCTGATGCTGCAAATGATCGCCATTGAGGAACGGATGCCACTGCTTCTGTGGCAAAGTCACTACTCAAATTTTGTACGAGGATCGGTGGCCACACCTTTAAAGCTCCGCTTACTGGTGGAAAAGGAGGCCATGAGACTCGGCGATCCAATACGGAGGTGGAAGATGATCTTAACGGGATCGGCGAACCGATCCAACTGTCGTTAGACTAATGGGTATGAATCGACCTGGGACGGAGCGATCTGGAACGATTTACATGGAACAATCTGGGACAAGGATCTGAGACCGGGTGATGGGATATGACCCTGCGACGAAGGTGTAACATCTTGCAGAATGTTATGGGGCGATCTGGAACCAGACGTCGGGATGAAGTCATACAGCTCATTGGAATGCCGGTCAAGAAGAAGTATACGTACATTGAAGCAGGCTAAGATTAGATCGCAGATCGACATGTTGTGGCAACGGTTTGTTGGAGAATTGACACATCTGGGACAAGGTGACTCCCCCAAAGTGCATCTGGGACCAGGTGGTACGGGTCGGTGAATCGGCAAAGAAGGTGCAACACCATACGGATCGGTGATACTCTTTACTGATCCTAAATTGGGAGTACTGATTTTGGTTAATTATACACCGATCTGGAAGTTTTTGCATACTCAGAAGAGTCAAGGAAACCGATGTCGAGACGTATGAATGAAGTTGTCGATTGGATAACACTGGAGGATGATATTGAAGCACGTATGAGGAGATGAAAAAGTGTTAATTGCCGATTTAGACCGGATCGACCTCCAACATCTCAATATTGGATGACAGATCGGTCATTTTCCACACTGATCATGAATATATGGTTGATGAAGACACTGGATCATGTGGAATATACTTGGTAGAGGTCACTAAGTGATGTCAAGAAGTTTCACGCCGAAAGAGCCAGTGGAAGCTGTCCGAATTGACGTCGCAAAATGGATTTAGACGCCTTCGGCATTTGGGCACTATTTTGGGCTTTTGGGTACCAAAAATGGGTATTCGGTACCCCATTTGGGATTTGGTCCTCTTTTGGCGTTCAGGTACGGTATCGGGAATATTGGCGCTATCATTGGAGTACAGGGCACGAAATTTCGACACGTGGCAAGGGGGCGATCCAGATTCAAGGCGATATCGGTTTGAAGAGTGACCTATAGTTAAGAATAGGCTTAAGGATATGTTGGATAGTAATTTGGTTGGTTAATAAAACAGACTTGAACTCTACTTCTTCTGCTCACGACGCACGTTATCCTCCCCTCTTCTCCAGGCAAGATTGATTTGGCTTCCCCGGCGGGTTAAGGCACGCGTGTTACAGGGACACAGAAGACCGATCTTGGATTGTTGGCCAAGATCGAGAAGAGCGATCCCGGGATATCTGGCCCGGATCGATCAAGTACTCACACTCAACTCAACTGCTAGGGTAGCAGCACACAACGGAAAAGGAAAAGGATTTTGGACACAGGATCGCGAGACGGCTCAAGTGGTCAGAAGATCTGGACAAGGCGTTCAAGACAAGACCGAGCAGGATCGAAGCGATCCCCTGGACAGATCGGCACGTTTCATTTTGGCGAAACAAGACACCGATCTACCCAAATTGCGCACTTCCGGCAAGATCGGCCGATCCCAAGACCAGATCGGACCGATCCCAAGGCAAGATCGACGCAGGACTTTATTTGCTGAGTGAAGATTTCCGCACAGCAAAGACCCCGATCTCGAAGACAAATCAAGATCGGTGCGATCCAAGATCGGGATCGCAGAACCCCCGTTCGTGGTGTGAAGATTTCCGCACCGGAAGCGAACCCTCAACCCAACCTCTCAGCGATATCGACATCTCCCAAGGCCGTTATGAAGAGCTCAAGCCAGCCCAACCGACGGGTACACAAGGTGAGCACAAGGTCATACAACAAGGCACGGATCGGAGTACCCCCTCCGTGAGTCGGCAAGTCTGGGCAAGTGGAAGATCGACACTCATACAAGCAATTTTGTGAGATCGACTTCACCACAATGGTGCGCGTGCCCGGATTCGAACCAGGGATTTCACCGTTGGATTTTCATCCAGCAGATCGCTCTTTGCAGAGCGATCTGCGGTGGCCCCCGAAGGGATCATAGGAGGGAATTGAGGTTTATCTTCCAGATCGATCTCTCGATCTTCCTCTTTCATTTTCATTTCATCAGAGCCCCTCCCAAAACTCTGATGATCTGAGGATCTTGTGCTTCTGCGTGTCTGCGTCGATCCCTTTGTCGCTGACACTTCAATCCCAGGTTCTTGCTTAATCTTGACATCTTCGCCAGTGGACTCACGGTGAAATCCAGAGGCCTCAGAAGATCCGGGCACGCGCATGGACTATGGAGGTGAAGAAATGTGAAAGAGGAGATGAAGAAATCCTGGGCATGTTAGCAGCGAAGTATCACTCCGAGAGGAGAGGTGGAAGAGATGCTGATTGCGATCTCCCCACGAAAAGACTGTCGACTCAAAATATCGATGCCTCCTCCAACGGTGGAAACAGATGAGGAGTTGCTGGTAGCCAGTTTCGATGGATCGGCTAGGATAAAAAGAAAGGAGGGTCGTTCAGTGCCGTGATATGGAAGTTACCCGAATGGACGATCGTGGCGGCCGAATCGAGATATGTTCACGATCTGACTGTGAATGAAGCTGAGTATAATGGCTTGCTACTGTGCTTTGAGTTACTCGCCGATCTGGATAGGGGGCGAGTAATACTGTGTGGAGATTCCAGTCTGGTGATTCGACAGATGCGCGGTGAGATCGACTGCAAGGCACCGGGCCTTCAGCTTCTGAGACACAAAGCGTTGGAGAAGCTGCAGTCATGGCCTAGTCACGAGTTTCTGCATATGAAGCGAGAGTGGAATCAGAGCGCAGATCGACTAGCCAGCACAGCATTGCAGAGCGAAAAGGGAAGAACGGTTGTAGCTGAAGAGGATCGGCAAGATCTGATGACTCTGAACCGTCTCGATGAATTGTTGAAGCCCAAGCAAGATGGTCAGCTAGCTCGGGTAACTGCGATCGCGAGATCAGCCAGGAGGATACGTCATGAACCTGAAGTGATACAGGAGGAGATAGTACATAGGATCAGGATTCAACGAATTGTCCAAGCTCAAGATGAAGAGTGTTGGATTGTCAATCTCAAGACATATCTAAGTGGCGATGTATCAAACTTGGATGCGGTAGAAGTGAAGATGTGCGCCAAACTGGCGCCGGATTACGAGATCGATGAGAACAATCTGCTATTTTTTTGCCCCATGGCGAAAAGAGAGTCGGAAGATCGCGATGGTTTGATGCGGTTGGTGATCCCTGAGACGTTGCAGCAGGATTTTTTGCATCACTATCACACGAGTCTGGAAGGAGGCCATCAGGGTATTGGCCGAACCTATCAGAGGATCAGATCGCGATTTCATTGGAGAGGACTGTATCGGAGCGTTCAACGATATGTGGGCGAATGTACCGACTGTGAGACCGGGAAAGGAAACCCGATGATTAATGGGAAATCCCCGGGCAATCTACACGCAACCTATCCATTCCAGATCATCGCCATGGATCATATACCGTCGTTGCCCAAGTCCATCAAGGGGAACACCGAACTGCTCATTTGGGTCGACCTTTTCTCGGGATATGTGATTGCAAAGGCTAGCTCCTCTCGGACGGCACAAACAATAGCGGAGAATTACGAAGAATGTGTGTTTCGACGCTTCGGAGCTAGCGAGGCTATCAGGCACGATCGAGAACCGGGATTTATGTCCGACTTCTTTCGAGCCTTCAGTCGGATCGTAGGACAAAAACAGCGTGCTACTATGGCTTACAGACCACAAGCAAATGGAACAGCCGAACGAATGGTGCAAACCCTGACACATTCGATCAAGATGTACGTGGCTGAAGTTGACCAGCGAGACTGGGATGAGTATGCTGAGCGGCTCACATTTGCCATTAACACTGCAAAAGATCGGATCCGGGGGGATAATCCATTTTATCTGATTCATGGGTGGGACCCGCGATCGACTTTGGAGGCTACGCTACCAGTGGGGAATACGGGGACATGAGATCGCGATCCAAAGAGGTGGAGATACAAAATCCAAAGACAATACCTGCGAGCCCGATCTGCAGTGAACGATCGTTTACAAGCCGCGATCCAGGAGCGAGCGGATCGACACAACGAAGATCTGGAACCACACGAGATCGAAGTAGGAGAGCAAGTTTGGCTATACCTGGACCGAGTTAAAGAGGGATATGCGAAGAAGCTAGCGCACATGTGGCATGGGCCATTCCGAGTTGCGGACATATGTGGAGATCATGCTGTAAAATTGGAGATCGCTGGAAACCCATATCGGTTATTTCCGATTGTACACATATCGAAGCTAAAAAAGGTAAAGACGTTCCCTGAACGCCCGAAGGATTAGCTTACGATAGAGGAATCAGATCGCTTGGATTTCGATGAAGCTCTGCTGCGAGAAGACAGTTTGGATGGCGATCTTGAAGAATGGGAATACGAAGTAGAGGCAATATTGGACGTGCGATCTGGTAGAAAAACCCATTATGGGCGAGTACACCGGCAGTATCTGGTGAAGTGGAAGGGATATCCCGATCTAAGTTGGGTGGACGAGGCCGATCTAAGTTGCGGGGCGATCTTGCAATAGTTTGAGCGGAACCGAGTGAGTCGAAACCGTTTCGACGTAATGCAGTCTCATGAAGGCAAGTCGGACGAACCTTAACAGTTCGAACAAGTATGCGGGAGGTAGCATATGCGGATGTAGGGGTTGAAAGATGTGCTAGACGGTAGCACATGCTGGTGGATGAGGTTTTGTATGTGAGTATGGAGATAGTCAAGTGAATTACCTTCCTGAATGACGTGGAGCGAGGAGGATCGAGATCGTGGAAGTTGCAAAGAATGGAAGTACCAAAAAAGAAGATGATTGAATGACTTACACGATTATGGAAGACGATCGGGCTTGGATATCGATCTTGGACTAAGACGATGGAGCAGGTTTGAACTTGTCCCGCAGACGAGGGATCTGCGATCCGGGATGATCCCAATAGGCGTTACGGAACTGGTTGCGCCAAGGATCCTCTTGGTCTGCCATGTCCAACGCCTCTAGCAAGTCAGCTGGGTCGTTAGAGTGTCCTAACCCTGAATACCAAACACGGTCTTCATGTGGGCGCGGATAGTGGAGGAAGAAGGGATCTAGCAAGATGTCGAGATCACAGTGGCCAGCGATCATGCCGCTGAGTATCATCTTCAAGAAGTTCTTCCAACGCGCTCCAAAGCGAGAACGGCGTTGTTTTCGTTGGCGCCAGAATGTCTGCATGAACCGTTCAGATCGCCTTTGAGCCGGAGGAATCGGGAAAGCATGAGTAGATTCCCACAGAGCTTGTCGATGAGTGGACTCAAGCTCCAGGTACCGATGACCCATATCACGATACCATCCAGTCATGGTGAATGATATCGGGTTCACTGGGACTATGATATTATCCCAAGGGGCTAAAGCGTAAAGAGCCTCGATGTGTTGCCGCGAGATCAGCCCAGAATCCCAAGTCCCCGTAGGCGGAGCTCGTCCATGATTGTAGAAGGGAAACAGAAAATTCCTGGGCTTGGAGTAGTGGTGAAACAACAGCTCAATGGTCATGGTCCTCACGCAAACCATCGCGATCCGCGAACCGGACCATGGAGCGATCTCGGAAGCTACCCGTCGGGAGGGCGCCAGATAGTTGGGAATCCACCGATCCCGTGGTTGCTGGAGTGGCGGAAGATTGTCGAAGTCAACGGAAGAGAAAACTATGTTAGCCACTTGGCGTGCCGGAAGGGTGATGCTGTTTTCGCTATCGGACGAATGGCGATCCGAAAGCGCAGTGGACTCCGGAGGCGGACTAACAGAGCCAGTCTCGCTGTGTGTCTCCCCTGTCGGCGATACCTCCACGTCTTCTACGCCGCCATCATCTTGAATTTCGACTACGGGAACAGCCGCGACCGGAGTGGATGGGTACGAAAGATAACGAGGCTCCGGAACGTCTGGAGAAGGCGAACGCAACAGTGCTTGAGCCAACGCAGTAGCTGCGGAAGAAGCGGGAACAACCCGAGCGGCCGGAGAAGGGTTCGGGGTCGAAGATCGGGCATCCGATCTAAGTTGACGACGAGAGGCCGATCTCGATTGGGATAATGCAGCACGAGTCAAATCATCCGAGCTAGAATCCGACTCGGTCAGCTCCTCACTTCCCGATCCAGTCCCAGAAGCCGCGGACGAAAGCGGAGAACAAGAAGAATTGGGTGGAGGCTCGGGTGGGGCCAATCCGGGAAGTTTGTTTAAAGGTATTGAAGGGTTCAACGACAATAGCCGGGAAGCCACACTGGCGGTGGAAGAATCACTGGATTGTGACCTTGGTTGAATACGCCGACGCTTGGCAGGCGGGCCGGACGATCTCGATCTGGACCTACGGGCAAGCGATCTCGATCCCGGGGTAGTGGGAGCAGGGGGCGATCCGGCCGGAGTAGCACTCTTAGTCGTCGTTCGAGCGGTCAACGCAGACGACCGGGATCCGAGTATAGCACTGCTCAGTGTGTCGAGGAGAGCACGGTGTTCAGCTATAGCCTGATCCCGATCATGCTCCACCACCTGCAACTGGTCGTATATCTCGAGGTGTTCCGCAAGCTGACGACGTAGGTTGGCGTTCTCCGCCTGCGAAAGTGCCAACTGACCCTCTAGGGGAGTCAAACCATCCACTTGTTACATGAGATTGCTGATCGAAGACAGTCCATCTGCGATCTCCTCCTGAGACTGAGCCAATTGCTCCTTCAAGTGCAAAAAATCTATGTGAAGGAAGGATATGTCCATGGTCAGCTGATCACGCTACTGTCGGAGAGAGTTGAGTTCGGCTTGGAGCGAATGAAGCTGAGCCCTCAAAGCATCCACCTGTCGTTCCAAGTTCCCCTGAGCCTCGTCGTTGGCACATATCAAAGTGCGTAGCCGACGAATCTCCTCCGATTGATCTCGATATGTCCGCAGAGCTCGATGGCAATCACTCAAAGAATGCACTGCGTCGACGTAGCGGCCCTGCATCCAGTCATATCGAAGCTGGACGAAGGAGACAAAAGGAGCGGCTGATCTGTATAGCGATTCAAGCTCGTCTTGTAAGCGATCCCCCGGACGACGGCATCTCGGTAGGATTACTGGAGCGCATGAATGGTGTCGGCTTGGCTGCAGAAGGTAGCCTCTCGATCCCACAAATACGAGATCGTGGCCATCGTGAGACGAACGTCGTCGGCAGAAACTCTGGGAACGAAGCCGGTGACGCCCACAGCTGGAGCAGACCTTTCACGAGATTCATTAGCGGCCGGGATGTCGGATCTGGACGCATCTGGGGCCGCCGGAGGAGTGGGAAGCGGGAATGGCTCGGAGGAACGATCTGATAATTCCGCGGCGGTCAAGAGTGATCCGACCAATCTGGGATTACTGAGAGACTCATGTTGATCTGGGACGATAGGAGCATACCACCCGCGATCTGGCGATCTAGATGGCGAGTCTTGGGATGGAGACGAGGGTCTGGTCGGCTGTCGATCTGGCGATCCTGTGGGGATTGTGGGCGATCCGTTTGGGCTTAGATGGCGCGGAGACCCAGGCCGATCGGGGACCGCTGGGGTGTGTCCTCCGAGATCGGGCGATCCGGGCGACATGTCGCGATCCGGAGACAGAAACATGGTGGGTCCTTCTGATGAGATCAGCGAGGCCAGTGCATGCGTCGGAGAGGCCATGAGACGGACTTGAGTGCTTGGAACGAAGTTGATGAGTGACTGTACTGAGGTCAATTGCTGTACAAAAGACTTCAGTACAGGGGGCGGTTGTGGCAAAGTCACTACTCAAATTTTGTACGAGGATCGGTGGCCACACCTTTAAAGCTCCGCTTACTGGTGGAAAAGGAGGCCATGAGACTCGGCGATCCAATACGGAGGTGGAAGATGATCTTAACGGGATCGGCGAACCGATCCAACTGTCGTTAGACTAATGGGTATGAATCGACCTGGGACGGAGCGATCTGGAACGATTTACATGGAACAATCTGGGACAAGGATCTGAGACCGGGTGATGGGATATGACTCTGCGACGAAGGTGTAACATCTTGCAGAATGTTATGGGGCGATCTGGAACCAGACGTCGGGATGAAGTCATACAGCTCATTGGAATGCCGGTCAAGAAGAAGTATACGTACATTGAAGCAGGCTAAGATTAGATCGCAGATCGACATGTTGTGGCAACGGTTTGTTGGAGAATTGACACATCTGGGACAAGGTGACTCCCCAAAGTGCATCTGGGACCAGGTGGTACGGGTCGGTGAATCGGCAAAGAAGGTGCAACACCATACGGATCGGTGATACTCTTTACTGATCCTAAATTGGGAGTACTGATTTTGGTTAATTATACACCGATCTGGAAGTTTTTGCATACTCAGAAGAGTCAAGGAAACCGATGTCGAGACGTATGAATGAAGTTGTCGATTGGATAACACTGGAGGATGATATTGAAGCACGTATGAGGAGATGAAAAAGTGTTAATTGCCGATTTAGACCGGATCGACCTCCAACATCTCAATATTGGATGACAGATCGGTCATTTTCCACACTGATCATGAATATATGGTTGATGAAGACACTGGATCATGTGGAATATACTTGGTAGAGGTCACTAAGTGATGTCAAGAAGTTTCACGCCGAAAGAGCCAGTGGAAGCTGTCCGAATTGACGTCGCAAAATGGATTTAGACGCCTTCGGCATTTGGGCACTATTTTGGGCTTTTGGGTACCAAAAATGGGTATTCGGTACCCCATTTGGGATTTGGTCCTCTTTTGGCGTTCAGGTACGGTATCGGGAATATTGGCGCTATCATTGGAGTACAGGGCACGAAATTTCGACACGTGGCAAGGGGGCGATCCAGATTCAAGGCGATATCGGTTTGAAGAGTGACCTATAGTTAAGAATAGGCTTAAGGATATGTTGGATAGTAATTTGGTTGGTTAATAAAACAGACTTGAACTCTACTTCTTCTGCTCACGACGCACGTTATCCTCCCCTCTTCTCCAGGCAAGATTGATTTGGCTTCCCCGGCGGGTTAAGGCACGCGTGTTACAGGGACACAGAAGACCGATCTTGGATTGTTGGCCAAGATCGAGAAGAGCGATCCCGGGATATCTGGCCCGGATCGATCAAGTACTCACACTCAACTCAACTGCTAGGGTAGCAGCACACAACGGAAAAGGAAAAGGATTTTGGACACAGGATCGCGAGACGGCTCAAGTGGTCAGAAGATCTGGACAAGGCGTTCAAGACAAGACCGAGCAGGATCGAAGCGATCCCCTGGACAGATCGGCACGTTTCATTTTGGCGAAACAAGACACCGATCTACCCAAATTGCGCACTTCCGGCAAGATCGGCCGATCCCAAGGCAAGATCGACGCAGGACTTTTATTTGCTGAGTGAAGATTTCCGCACAGCAAAGACCCCGATCTCGAAGACTAATCAAGATCGGTGCGATCCAAGATCGGGATCGCAGAACCCCCGTTCGTGGTGTGAAGATTTCCGCACCGGAAGCGAACCCTCAACCCAACCTCTCAGCGATATCGACATCTCCCAAGGCCGTTATGAAGAGCTCAAGCCAGCCCAACCGACGGGTACACAAGGTGAGCACAAGGTCATACAACAAGGCACGGATCGGAGTACCCCCTCCGTGAGTCGACAAGTCTGGACAAGTGGAAGATCGACACTCATACAAGCAATTTTGTGAGATCGACTTCACCACACTTCCTACCATGAACGTCAAGCCCATGGACGGGGCTGTTTACTGGCTCATCGACGACGACGCGGCTGCAAAAAGTGAAGCTCCCGAGCGATGCTAGAATGTAGACCAGGCGATACATGTCCCTGTTGCACGGCCTTGGCGTTTTGTCTGCCTTGTCCGACCCCTGCAGTCCCTTCATCTCTTCGACCTTCGAGCTAGTAACATAATGACGACGTATGTCAGGCCGCTAGGTACGTACGGCATAGTACAGGAGTAATTACAGCGTAAAAAGTAAAAAAAGGATAAGTCTGACGTCATTGGAGGACGTCACAGTCTGACGTCATCAGCTGACATCATTAGATGACGTCACTGAAGAAGCTTCTAGAAGGATCCAGAAGGGTAGGCTTAGAATAGCACAGGGTAGCGAACTAAGGACCTACATTAATTCAGTTTCCAATTTACCTAGTGAACGAGAAGTCATCACATCTGGTAGCACTTGTTGGTCTCGCCGTCTGCCGTCCCCGCCGTCTGCCGTCCCTGCCGTCCTGCCGTCCCCGCCGTCTGCCGTCCCCGCCGTCTGCCGTCTTCGCCGTCTCTGCCGTCGTAACCGTCGCAACCGTCGTAACCGTCGTAGCCGTAGTAACTGTCGTAGTCGTCGTCGTCGCTCAAGAGCAGTGATCTGGAGAATCTATCGTAAGTCCCAATCTTTTTTTTGGGCAGGGACTCCTTTTCATTGGCTGTAAATCCTACCGGGCCATTATCACTGCTACCGTTATCGAGGTCGTGGTCTTATTGACTATAAATCGACTCGTTTCGGGAATAAGTCAGTTTGGTTAACGGAAGGTTAGTACTTCGGTTCATGACCCGCCACCCGCGCAAGCAACCTACGCCACTCGACATTAACGACTCGCTGGCACAGCTATCCGTGACAAAGCCGGACGCAGCCGACAAGTGCCATGCGGACCTACTGGAAGCAATCCGTCGCACCAGACGCATTCTTGTCCGCTTCAAGAAGCACTTGGACACGGCTCAGCGCTCCGACTCGCGCAAACACATCAAGACTAGGCTTGTGGCGCACGCTAGCGACTTGCTCAGTTTGGAGAGCACTGTGAGCCTGCGCATCTCACGCGAGATTTCCAAGCACACAAGCAAAACCGCCCGAGTCCCGTATTCTGGACCACCAGGGTACAAGGTCGTGCTCGCCCGTCAACAACCGACTGCCAAGTCAACTAAGTCCTGGAAGCCCGGATCAAAGGTTATCAAGAGAAGTACCAAGACCATAGCTCCGCCAAGTACAATTAACTGATCGTTAAATTCAGTTAGTTCTGTACCGTTACATAATGTTCACCCCAATGACGTCCGATCAGCATGCACAACTGCTGCAATCGATGGTTGCGACAATGGAGAAACAATCGCTGTTGCTAGAGCAGTTTCAAAGGTCCACACAATTATCGGAAATAAAGCTTGAAGGTGTAAAGCTTCCGACGTATGGTGGCAGATTGGACGAATTGTTCCTTCTCTACAAGGAGCAAGTAGAGCAATACTTCTTCGCAAAAGGAGTGAACTGGAAGTGTCATGAGCTCTCTCTCCGCATACTAGCCATTTGGGGGGGCACACTAAAGCACGGAGCTGCTCAGTGGTATGTCATGCAAAAGCAGTACATCACAACCGTGGACGACTTCTTCTTCAAGATAGAACGGGAGTTCGTTCCAGCTGATCTACAAGAGCGTCTGCGGGAAGAAATGAATGATATGAGAGAGCGCGATTGCAAGGACCTCCCTGACTATGTAGACAAGTTTCGCCACGTGGTAACTCAAGTCCAAGACATGAGCGAACTGGACAGGATTATGTACTTCCTACGCGGACTTTCTGGTCGTACGCGAGCAGAGGTCCAGTACCGTCGCTGTACAACGTTGTCAGACGCTATTACTGTTGCGTTAGACTTTGACCGTTCTCATCCGACGAGGTATTCCCGGGGCAGGTCACAGGATAAACCTAGGTACCGGTCATACGACAATAATCGTCGATATCAATCCAACACTGGCCCAGAGCCAATGGACGTTAGCACTGTGCAGATTCCTTCTCGGGACGAATGTCGTCGACAAAATTTGTGTTTCAAATGCGGTAGTCCGAATCATCGCTCCGCACAGTGTCATCAGCGCCCCACACGTTCTGTTCGAGAAAATACTAATGCTGGACGGAACTATCAACATCAGGTACATCGTCGGCATGTAAACAATGTGGACAGTCGTGAGGACGACCAGGACACAAGTGTTTACGACCGAGTCACAATCAATGCAGTGGAGGTACAAAAGGATTCTAAGGTACCATTCATTGCCATCCACTCAAGTAGCTTGGGGGCGGACATACCAGCGCAAAGTCGACTACTCGTTCGTGATGGTGTTATTGGTAATAAACCCGTCAAGATTTAGATTGACTCTGGAGCGTCAACGAATCTGATCAAAACCGGTCTGGCGTCCACAGTTCTCAGCGAACAGATGGTACAAGCACGACGTTTTGATGGTACCTAGACATCAAGTCAACCCACAAAGCGGGTGGAAGATACCATTTTAATCGACGGTATGGAGTTCCCTAAGATGCAGTTTACAGAATGGGATCTACCGGATACACATGACTTGATATTTGGTCAACCATGGTTTACCATGTACAACCCCCAGATCAACTGGCGTACACAACAAATTGAAATTGCAGCACACACGACGTTCAAAGACGTGGACGGACCGACATTTCATGCGAAGATGACTCGCGGAGCCTACGAGGAAATATATCAATTAGACCATCAGGAGATACCGCACGAGCTACAGCCAGTGCTAGACGAGTACAAGGACGTATTCCCCGACCAACTTCCAGAGGTAATGCCTCCAACGCGATCGGTCAACTTTGAGCTACAACTGAAGCCTGATGCGGTGCCGAGCTCTCGGGCCCCCTTCCGTCTATCGAAAGTGGAGCAGGAGGCGCTCCAACAATTTGTGGAGGAGAATTTACGGAAAGGATGGATCGAGGTGTCCAACTCTCCATGGATTTTAAACATATTTGGGATTCCAAAAAAGGATCCTGTAACCGGGCGGTTCCCTAAACGCGCAGAATAGCTCCGCAGCGGAAATTCCAAAATCCCCATTAGATGGGTCATTGACTACCGATATGTTAATAGCATGTCTGTCGTGGCAAAAATTCCTTTGCCGTTGATCGAGGAACCGTTCGACCGCATGGTGGGATGTAAGTTTTTTACGCTTCTTGATCTTGCGCAAGGGTACCATCAAATGGTAGTCTTACCATCAAGTAGACCCTATACGGCTTTTCGCACCCATAAGGAAACGTATCAATGGTTTGTAGCACCCATGGGTTTATCTGGAATGCCTGATGTCTGGTCGCGGCTTATGCGAACGTTGTTCGACCAATTCGGAACCTTTGTCGTGGTGTATCTTGACGACATATGTATCTTCTCCCGTACAATGGAGGACCACGTCGGCCACGTTCGCGCAGTATGCGCCGTGTTACGCAAGGAGAAGCTTTATGCTCGACTCTCCAAATGTGCGTTTGGTCGTAACGAGATTGCATTTTTAGGGCATATGGTTTCCGACGAAGGTCTGCAGGTCGACCCAAAGAAGACCGATGCTATTGCACAGTTTCAAGCTCCGACGTGTCGCAAGGAGCTGCTGAGTTTTCTCGGGCTGGCTGGGTATTACCGTCGCTTCATCTGCGATTTTGCCAAGCTTTCACGTCCTCTTCGAGCATTAACCAAACACGAGACTCGCTGGAGCTGGGGGGAGGATCACCAGCGATCATTTAACGCGTTAAAACTCGCACTTCAGCAGGCTCCGACGCTAAAGCTGCCAGACTTTACGCACCCTTTTATTGTCACTACGGATGCGTCCGGGTTCTGCATGGGCGGTGTCCTCTCTCAGCGCATCAATAATAGCGACCACGCCATCGCATTTTATTCGAAACATCTGGGCCCCCACGAATTAAAATGGCCCGCTCATGAAAAAGAGCTGCTAGCAATCAAGACTGCTTTCGAAAAATGGCGCCCGTATCTCCACGGACGACACTTTTCAGTCTACACCGACAATTCAGCGTGCAAATGGATGCTCCACCATCCTAAAGTGTCGCCCAAGATGGCACGCATGCTGACGTTCTTTTCCCAGTTTGACTTTGTCTTACATCATGTTAAAGGAGGGTCTAACGTCGTGGCCGATGCATTATCTCGACCGGCCTTATCCGCAGATCCCTCCAGCGTGCGCGCTGTGCCTACGTGCCCAGTTCCCGATCTGTCGCACGTCGTACATGAATGTACGGATGCTTGTGCCCTCAACTCTCACCTTTTGAAGCAACACATGGTTCACTCCGCTCTCATGCGATCCATTCCGCTCGAAGTCGCACACCTCTTACTTGACGATGTGTAGTTGCGAGGGGAGTCTCGTCCGATAGGAATCGCTCAGGAGCAAATCCACAACGCTGCGTTTCACGTGGTGCGCGCACATCTCAGTGACAAAGTGCGAAAAACTATCCAGCAAGGATATCACACAGACAAGTTTTTCCAAAAGATCTGGAGAACTCAACAATCGAAGGACAACTTCATAATCGACAAAGGACTCATATATGTCAAACAAGACGAGGCAATGCAACAGATATGCATCCCAGACATACCAGAAATGAAGACGAAGATTCTATACGAGTTTCACGATGCAGCCAGAGCGGCACATCCAGGAGTGCGCCGAACTTACATAAAGCTAAAGCAATGGTACTACTGGCCGAAGATACTTGAAACCGTGCAGAAGTACGTGGAGACATGTGAAACATGCGCGCGATGGAAGTCTAACAGCCAGCGGAAGAAAGGATTAATGATTCCTATTCCCGTTCCGGAGGAATGCTGGAAAGTAGTATCAATGGACTTCATTACTGGGCTACCCGTGTCGGAAGGCTATGATGCTATTTGCGTCGTCGTAGACAAGTTGTCAAAGAGGCCGATTTATGCACCGACATATATGACTGCCGATTTGAAAGACACCGTAGATCTATTTTTCGACGCTGTAGTCCGACATCATGGATTGCCGAAGGTTATTATCAGCGATCGGGATCCAAAGTTCACGGCGAACTTCTGGAAATCACTGATGAATGTAATGGGTGTCAAGCTAAGCATGACGACCGCTCATAGAGCGCAATCAGATGGGCAAACGGAACGCCAAAACTTGGTGTTGGAAGACGCTTTACGCTGCCTGGTATCGTACAGTGGCGACAATTGGGTCAAACTACTGGGTACTGTAGAGTACGCGCACGCTACATCGGTGAACGCATCTACTAAGCTCACCCCGTTCGAAATCGATACTGGGAGAAAGGTATCCAATCTGATTTCGCATGAATACGGAGGCCACGCTGATCTGGGCTCCCATTCAATTTCAGAATTTGCCTCCAAGTTTACCAACGATCGTCAAAAACTAGTACGCAAGGCACGCGAAAACCTGGAACAAGCCCAGAAAAAGGCAAAAGAAGCACTACGACTCGAAAAGAAGAAGCGTTACTTCAAAGTAGGTGACTTAGTTCTGTTGGATGCCAAGAACCTACCGCTTAGAACAGTGAACGCTCACGTTGATCTAAAGAAAGCGAAGCTGGCAGCAAAAAAAGTGGGACCGTTTGAGATAACCAGGATGGTCAATCCGAACGTAGCCAAGCTAAAGCTACCACGACATATGAAGAGACTGCACTCCTCATTCAACATTGACCTACTCTTCCCATACAAGCCAAATGCCTCCGAGCTCGCTGGACGACCAATTCCGAAAGCAGCACCAGTTATATTCGAGCCAGACGCCGGAGAGCAACTACACATTGTGGAAAGCTATCTTAGTCGTCGTCAGCGCAATCGCCAAAAAGAATGGCTAGTCAAATGGCATGGCCTCCCGGAGTGTGACAGTACTTGGGAGCGCGAGAGATCCATCCGCCACTTTTCGCATTAGCAGCAACTAGTCGAAGATTTTCGAGACGGCCAACGCGAATTCAAGTCCAGGGAGATGTCAGGCCGCTAGGTACGTACGGCCTAGTACAGGAGTAATTACAGCGTAAAAAGTAAAAAAAGGATAAGTCTGACGTCATTGGAGGACGTCACAGTCTGACGTCATCAGCTGACATCATTAGATGACGTCACTGAAGAAGCTTCTAGAAGGATCCAGAAGGGTAGGCTTAGAATAGCACAGGGTAGCGAACTAAGGACCTACATTAATTCAGTTTCCAATTTACCTAGTGAACGAGAAGTCATCACAACGTACCAGCAGGAGGATACGTTGGCCGTAGCTTGTGTGTCGCGGCGCTTGCCGGAAGGTCGCGCAGTAAGCGTCAATTGAAGATCTTCGCCTTCAAGCGGCTTACTCTCTCTCATTGCACTTCAACGAAGTGCAGACAGATGCCAAGACAAAGCGAATCCTCGCTCAGATGCAGCGTGTGGACCACGACCCCATCCTTTCTATCGTGACGTTCGAGAACATGGCGCAGAGACTCATCGACTGGACTATGGGTTCTGAGCTGCGTTACGAAGGAGACGTTTCTGGGGCAAAGTGGCGGACGTCAAGGAAACACGCGACACCTGCACCAAGTCAGATGAAGACAGTGAGGGCTTCTCAGTGAATCACGCAACAACCTATGCCCCTGTCACACCCCTCTCTCAGGCCAAGCAAAACACTCTAATCCCTTTCATGCATAACACGTAAGACAAGACGACAATTGAAACTTCACACATCCACGATTGGTATTACCAATGCACTACGTTCGTACTGCTTCTGCCGACTCACTTCGGAAGTAAGTCGCACGCAGCCAAAGAAAAGTCGATTGATGCGAACTACCAGTAGCTGGCAAACAGACTTCTCGCTCTCTTGAGCAACGGCTACGTTCAATGGCCAGGAGCCAGCAACGTTTTGCCAAGAGCTTCCTTTACTTCAAACGGCACCGACACTCGCCGACACCCAGTGGTTTCACCGCCGTTAGAAGTCACTTTTACGTCGCCTGCGTACGTCACGGTAAGTAGCATGTCCTCTCCACTGATGGTCATCTCGGCGCCAGGCTTCGTTATACACACAGCGTAGTCTTCCTCACTGAGCGTGATGGTGTACTTTTTCTTGCAGGTGGAAGTACTGGCCACAGCATCACCATCGTCGATCCCCGCAACTTCCTGGAGCATAAAGTTGATCCGCGGAATCATGTGTCGGCCTGACTCCGAGTCCAAACACACAAAATTCTTTTGCGCTAGCGGCAACAAATTGACAAGAGCGTACCCATTCGTCTGTTTGTAGGAGGCGACCGACTTATCGATACAAGACGCTGTACGATGGTCGAAACTGGTGGAGACATCGTAGAGTACCTTTGTCCCGCCTTCCGAAAGAACTGGCACGGCCGACATAGTGTACCTGCAATCAGGATGTCCAACGACACTCGGCTTGACGGCGATGGAAAGAGTTGGCCAACCTGAGCTCGACTCGGCTTGAAGAAGTCGTGCGCTGTTCTCCAGACGTAGCGCAGCGTTTGCAGACGAGAGCAACATGGTGGAGAACACCGTCAAGCGCAGAATCGCCGGTGGCATCTCGATGGCAGGGAATTGGAAGTTCGTGGGTTGTTGGTTGTGCTTGTGTGCTAGGAGGCAAAAGCAGTTGTGAGATCACACAGAGCCACTCCTCGCAAGACAAAAGGCAATGTCGTCTGGAAGAGTCCCCAATGTCGGGCATTCTTTATGTCCAGCAGAGAGAGCAAGCATCATATGCAACTTCTACACAGAGACTCGATACGACAACCGGCCGGTTGCTAGTCTGAGAACTTATACCTGAAGAACGCGATCAATGGCTATCGCATTCGTTTGTTCATTGTCAATCGTGTTGACGGGCAGCCCATCTGGGTTTCATCACGGTTCCACGCACGTACGACGCAGCGTGTCCACATGTATTTGCAGCAGCGCACGAACCTGGTGAGTCCGACGGGAACCACGACTATGTGAAGATGCTGGCCACTGCCTTTGCTTGGAAGTGTTTAGTCACTACTTCACTTTGTGCACAACCCGACAAAGTTGTGATTCTCGTTGTATACTCACGGCAGACGAGCCTCTGAAAAGAAAGCCAGAAGCTCATCTGTCACACAGGAACTCCGCCATCGCCGCATGTTTGCGTGGCGTCAGCACGTCAGAATTTCAGCCACACGATTGCATGTCGATTCGACGTCGGTGCTAGCCGGCTTCGATGGGCTGGTCGTGCGGCAAGGGTCTACGTCAATGGTGCCATTAGTGATTTCGTTACTGTAGAACTTTGGGGATTCTTCTATCGGTCGTATTACAAACTCGATCTACTCCATACATTTCGGCCACACCTTTGCTACAGCAAATCCCTCGTCACTATCACCTAGTACTTTACAAAGCGCGCTACTTCGGTTACTGCCGCTGGATGCAGCAACGTCCATACGAGGCAACGACCGCTTGTGTCACTCATCGGCGTCGTGCTTCAGCAAATTCTGACTGTAACGGGGCACCCTGAAGCTTGTACTGGTGACAGTACAAGCTACTTATTCTGGTGACAGAATAAGGCCGTGCCTCGTAACTTCACGTACACTCGTACGTGCAGAGGAAGACGGTAAGAAGAAGCGAGTACTTGATTAAAGTAAAAAGTAGAACTGTATTTATAATAGTTAATGTCTGCAATAAACCACTGTTTATCCTCATCTAACTATGTCTAAATACAAATGTGCATATCAACTATCTTCTCACCACTCATTGCGTGCGTCTGTCGTGGCGCGTCTTCGTTGGTTGATATAATGGCCTATATCAAGCAATTAGGAACTACTCGAAAGTGCTGCAGAACATTTGTCCTTATGAAAATATTCTGAGAATATAACTCTTATAGTTATATTCTATTAACAATTTCTTATAAATTGTTATGTAATGATTCACTCCGTTACATCACCCCCTCCTTAACCATCAGTCACTTTAATGACTGGTTGACTAAATGGATACTCGTCCCAAATCATTTGGGACGGGGTTTGCACTTGTTGGCCCGGGTCCACTTCCCAACATTTCATCGCATGGTTAACAAGCCCATGCTATGCGCGAGCAAGGCCGCCGAGAGCGCGTCCGCACGTCTCTGTGCAGACGCCGAAGCAGAAACCACAGCAACTGATGTCTCATCGGTTGCTGAAGCAACCCAGCCTGTGTCACTTGGTGATGCAGGCGCTGGTCATGAAGACACTCATGTCTTCACAGAGTACGAGCTCGGTGTCTCTTACTCTCCTGATACGGAAGACGGATCTGTATCAACGGCGATCGAAACCAATCCGCCTGCCAAGCGTAGCATGGACGATGCTTTGCGTCGTAGCATCTTTGGTTCATCTGATGAATCAGATGAACCATCGCCGAAGCGTAGGCGCTCGAGGTCGCGAGACTCGGGCGCTAACAGTGGTGTCGGTTCTCCTATGGACACCACTTCGCAACGAGGTGCCAGTACTTCTGTCGGCACATAGCAGGAAGAGCGGGACCGCAATGTCTTGCGTCTCGCTCCTGAGAAGAAGGCATGGATGCCTCCAAAATCCGTCATAGATCACTTGTCGGGGACGACGAGTGATCGTTATCGAACACGATTGTTCGATTCGTCAAGGATCCATCACCTTGACCCCAGCGCGAAAAACTATCGCGCTGAGAATGAATTCTTCATCGATGCTTTTCTTAGACATCGATGGTACAGTGGGAATCACAAGCGTGATGGTCCCTCACTGCTTCAGGCGTGGAACGCCTACATCCATAACCTTGAGGATGTAGGTCGTGACGCTTGGAACGACAAGCTTATCAAAGCTCGTGATAAGTTTGAAAAGCGAACCCCGACAGGTGCACGCTACAAGCTGCATCGTCTGTCAAGGGAGAAGGGATTACCCTGTCTTTCCTGGGGAGACCCGTGCCCATGTTGTGTGAACAACTCTGCACGAGCACCTAAGGAGGCTTACCTCCCTAATAGCCCGTGGTGGCGCGTACGTATCTCTATTGAGATGTACGAAGGGATTGACAACTTGAAATCCCTTTACGACCGTGCCGGGAAGACTTTCTCCGGCGGTCTTTCTGCGGCAAAGGATGTGCCGCGTTGTACTGCTCAACCAGACCCAGTACGTCGATCATCAGTTGGGAGCGGGGCTCCCAAGAATCCCAGGACGGGGGATAGCCGCGCCACCGCACGTGGTAACTCGTCCGACGTCCGTTTATATCGCGGTGGTTCAACAGCTGCTCAGCTAGATAGCGCTGGCCACCGCGAGAGTCCTCCAATGGAGGTGGAGGAGGAGGGAAGACGCTCTCCACACAATCGGGGGGATCGGTGTGTTCCCGAGAGCTTCTTTGATCGCGTAACGCAAGGGTTACGCGACGATCTCGAACATGAGCGGAATAGGCGTCTCCAAATGGCGGACACTGCCTCGAAGCATCGAGCTGAGTCTGCCTTTGCTAAGCTTGAGAACGAGAGATCTCTGACATCTCTTCGTGAAGAGCTAAGGGTAGCTCGTGGGATTATTGATCGGTCTCGGGATGAGATAGCTGCTCTTCAGACCCTTGTCGATGCCCACCATCGGGAGCACAAAGCTCTCTGCGAGATACTTGAGCGCAAGGGCGCTCTTCATCGGAAGAAGCAGCGTACTGATGGTACGGCTTAAGCCGACCAACGTAAAACGTGGGATGCGTTCGCATCTTACGTGGCAACTCGATCGTGTATGCATTGCCTAGGCGGTGCAATACATGAAATGGGCCAATGTACTTGGGTAGTAGTTTACTGCTACCCAAGTTAGTCACTACATGCTTTGGTAGATTAAGCGTAGACAGTAGGACTAAGTCACCTTTATTAAACAAGAAGAGTGTTTGCCCTTCCATTCTTGTCAGCGTTTTGCTTTTGCTTATCCACCGCTTCGGCGATGGAGTCTTGCACAAAACGGACTACCGTTTCACGAGCCAGTATGAACTCATCTGATGACTCGTTAGATTCAGTGCGCTGTGAGCGCACTGCAGCAACATCAGCCTTTTCTTCAGTGAGGGCTTCCGCACTCTCACTGGCATCATCTTCTTCAGTGAGGGCTTCCGCACTCTCACTGGCATCATCTTCTTCGATATCGATGTTATCGATATCGGCATCAAACGCAATGACCTCTTCGTCAGAGCGTGATGAGCGTGAACCAAATCGGTTTTTGCTCGCGCGACTCTTTCCCCCCTGAAACCAGAGTTGCACTCGAGTAAGGTGGGTACACGCGGATGGCGCAAGCCATTCACATAAAACGGTGTATGTGTCGTGGACGCATGCACCGAGTTGTTAATGACAAACTCTACCATTGGCAAAAACTCACTCCAACTCTTAAAGGAGTGTACGTATCCTCGAAGTATCTCTTCGAGGACACGATTGGCTCGCTCCGTCCGACCATCTGTTTCTGGATGATCAGATGTCGACATCTTCAAGCGCGTTCCGAGTGATTTGAACACGGAACGCCAGAAATCAGCAGTGAAGCGTAAATCTCTGTCTGATACGAGTTCACGGGGCAACCCATGAAGTCGGAAGATGGTGTCGATAAAGACACAAGCACAGCCACTTGCCGTGATTGTCTCTGGTACAGCCACAAGGTGTACCATTTTGCTGAATCTGTCAACAAATACGAGAATACCCGTATTCCCGCGTGCGTCTTTGGGTAACCCGAAGACGAAATCCATTGAGATGGATTCTCAGCACTCAGCCGGAACCGGTAGAGGCTGTAAAGGTGCACGCAGTGAAGGACTTGACTTCACTCGTTGACAGACTTCGCATGCGCGAACATACTTTCGCACAAACTGATACTGGCGGGGCCAGTAAAAGTCTCGACTCACCGTGAGATATGTTTTCTCTCGGCCACGATGTCCTCCTATAGGAGCAGCGTGATACTCGAACATGATCCGCAAACGCAGATCAGTATCATCTGGAATGACAACACGTGGTGTGTCACCAGAAACGGCTGTATAATACAGTAAACCGTTACGAGTAGTGTATCGATCTGATGCAGATCGATACGCAGACGATAATCGTTTCAACGATTCTCAAGATGGTTGTGAGAGATGTGTCAACAACTTCACAATCTCACCATCTTGGGCGTATGCCCGCCTCACATCATCATGCAACGTTGTAGATGGTACTGAGGACGTCATAACCGCAACAGTGACTGTCTCACTGTTGGGTTTCACGACTGGTTCAAAGTCGGGACGACGTGAGAGTGCATCAGCGACGACATTAAGTCGTCCTGGTTTGTACTCGACCGTAAAGTTGTATTCTGCAAAGAATGACAACCACCGCGCCATTCGTTGTGAAAGGTGCGGGCTGTTCACTGCCGTGCGTAATGACGCATGGTCAGTGTAAACAATGCAGGATCTATCTCCTAATAGATAGACTCTGAACTTCGCAAGTGCATACTTCATGGCAAGGCGTTCCTTGTCATGCACTGGATAGTTCCGCTCAGCTGGTTGCAGCTGACGCGACTGATAGCAGACGACGCGTTCAACGCCTTCTAGGTCGTACTGCATTAATGCACAGCCGATTGCGAAATCGCTGGCATCACAGACCACATGAAATGGCCTGTCTTGATCGGCTATTGCTAGGACTGGGGATTGTATCAAGCTCTGCTTGATACCATCAAAGGAGCGCTGACATTCAGCGTTCCATACCCACCTCTCGTTCTTTTTCAACAAACGAGAGAGGTGCACAGTCATCTCGGCGTAATTGCGTGAATACTTATGCAAATACGCCGCTAGCACAAGGAATTTTCGAAGACCTTTGACATCAACCGGCACAGGCCAGTCGGTGATCACCTTGATCTTTTCGGGATCAGGACGTACACCGTTCTTACCAACGATGCACCCAAGAAGTGGTATTTCGCTTGCTGCAAATATACACTTCTTGAGGTTTGCATACAATTGATGCTTTCGCATGATTGTAAGAACCTGTCGGACGTAGTACCTGTGAACCTCAACGTCTGACTTTCCATCCATAGCCCGACTATGGATGAATACGTCATCGAAATAACTCGGCGCGAATTCTCGTACTGGTCTCAACAAATGTGATACACATATGCTGAACGTGGCAGGGGCATTACTAAGCCCTTGTGACATTACTAGCCATTCCCAGAGCATGCCGCTAGGCGTGCTAACTGCGGTATAGGGTATATCCCGTTCTCGCATAAGGATTTGATAGAAGCCATCCATCAAATCCATGGACGAAAAGATGGTACTTTTTGACATACCATCAATGATTACGTCCTTCCTCGGTATCGGCGTCTGATCCGGTAACGTTGCAGCATTCAACTTGTTAAATGCGTGCACTATCCGCCACCCTCCTGTTGCTTTTCGCACACAGAAGGTCGGAGAGCTATGTGGGGAAGTTGATTCCCTCACATGGCCCGCAGCTAAACGATCGGCAAAGAACTTGTCGATCGCAAGTACTTGTTCACGAGGCAGTGGCCACTGCTTCATGACACAGTACTTCGAGCCTGGTTTAAGCTCGACCTCGTGTCGAATACCTTTATCCTTCGGTAACTCGCACGGAACAGTTTCAGGGAATACATCCTTGAATTCAACCAAATCTTCATAGAGAGGATTCGTCTTGAGGATTCCCACGATTGAAAGTCATATCGCTCAATTCGTGTCTTTTCATCGAGGTCGCTCTCGTCCATCGATGAACTACTGAGAACTCTCTCGTTACCAGTAAACACTGTTGCTGATCTTATGTCGGCTACACACTCGTCGTCAGCGACGAGTATGCAGATCTGCTTGACTTTGCCACTACGCAGATCACGCAAGAACCTTTTTGTTCGAGCGTTGGCAACTGAGTGATCTCCGAAGTCAACTTCGGAGGCGCAATCAGATCAAGTGTATAAGCGCCTACACTTGATCCGTTATTGACTATGACATTCAATGTCTCTGTCATTTCCTGGGGACTTATTCCTTCGGCTTCCCGGGGACTTATTCCCGCGGTTTTCGGGGAACTTATTTCTGCCGTATTTGTAATCTTGGGACTTATTCCCTTTACTTCCTCTAGCTGGGGTTGCGCAACCACAGCGAGATCCTCTACGAAATACTCTCCAGTCGATCTAGTATTATCGTTTCGCTTAACCTGAGCGATCGATCGTTTCTCTTCTAGATGTTCCCCGCTAGGGATACATCTTTGTCCCAGTCCACCCGACTTATTCGAGCGGTGGACCTTCGGCGCAGCCTGTGTTTCCTCACAGCCGACGGAACTTTGCTCCGAAGTGTAACCGTTTGGTACACTAAGGTTTTGTGGAGTCGTACTAACGACCGTACCACAAGCGAGGCCATCGCACTCACTCGTAGTACATCCACACGCTTGTGGACGCTCAAAACGTTCATCAGATGGCCATCTGATGAACAAGCGGCAGGCATCGTTACTGTTCGATGTTGCCAGTTTACTCGTGGTTCGTACCTTCTGAGCCACGGTATCCCAAGGATGACATCAAATTTGTCATCCAAATCCAATACGATAAAGTCATCGTCATATTGGGTATCTTCTAGCGTATAGTGGATCTTCACTATACGCTTCATGACGGTTACGGATGCGCCTGTCGCAAGACGTACCGTCATCCTCGTAGGAGGTGTGTCACATTCACTGAATTTAAAGTGACCATCTTCTAGCGATTGGCGTCGCACAAAATTGTTGGACGCCCCACAATCGACTAGAGCTCGAAGGGACAACTTATTCGTCACTTCGAGTTTCAAGGTAATGAGTGAGACCTCATTACCTAGAGCAGCAACGCACAATAGTTGTGTGTTGGGAGCAACCTTCATCAATAGGCCTACAAATTCTCTTGACGTTGCTGGATCAGTAGGGTGCTCCGCACCTACTGATCCTGTCCGTTTTTTGAAGGTCCATCCCGTTGTTGCGTCTTTGCACCAACAGCGGACCCGCGTACCTGCCCCTTTCTCATGGGTGGACGGTCACTACGCCCAGTGTTGCGAGACACTGGACGAGGGGCACTACACTCGTAAGCGTAGTGTCCTGTCTTCTGACATCTGTTGCATTTCTGCAACTTCTTGTAGTCTGTAGAGCGAGTCTTCTCGCTCTCTACATAACAGAGTTCCATCGGCTCTGGACCTCCGCTGTCATATCGTCTCGGTTGACGATATGATGTCGAGCTGGCGCGAGCCTGTCTCAGACTGAAGTCTTCCTGTTCCGCAATGGAAATGGCTTGTTCTAGTGAATCTAGTTCAAGCCGGAACAGGTGAGTCTTGACGGGACCATCCGCAAGACCCTGCATGAACACCGAAACCAACGTGTGTTCATCAACCGGGTTGGAGCTTATACAACTCGTGAGATGTCGTATGTGTTGCGCGTAAGCGTGCACATCACGCTTACCCTGTTTGAGCTTCAAGAGTTCGGTTCGAGCTCTGAACTCAGCTCTAGGCGGTTTAAACGTTTGTCTGAGCCGCGACTTGAAGACTTCCAACGACCCAAACGCATATGGGTCGTGCAACTTGAGCCCCAGTGCCCAAGTCTTGGCACGTCCTGCCAGATTTGACTGGGCAAATGCAACTTACATATTCCCGTCGTCGATGCGACGCGCCCTTATGGCGTCGTCTAATTCGACGAACCATCTCAAGAGGGAGTCCTCTTCAACTCCCCTATACTTAGAGATGTCAATCTTCAAGGTCTCGGGTCGACGCGAGTGCATCGACCCACCAGCAGCAGGCTGCTGCTGTCTCACCAGTTCAAACTGTTGAGCACCCTGTTCTCTCAACAACTCTGATTGTTGAGAACCTTGTTGGTGAAGCAAGGCTACTTTCTCGCGTTCAGCGTCAAGTTCATTTTGAATGAACTTGGCGATAGTAGCATGTTGGGCATCTCTATTGAGAGCCTCTAGCATGACGCTAACAGCATGGATGCCCATGGTTGAACCCATCCGTTCAACCGCATCCCATTCGACATCGCTCAAATGGGAGTAGCCGTCACGCGTAGCGTGAAAGCTTTGGTCATCTTCATCATCTAACATGTTCATGTTGGATGTAAACGTGGTCCTTGGACGGACTACAAAGTGCTACCAGGTGTAACGGGGCACCCTGAAGCTTGTACTGGTGACAGTACAAGCTACTTATTCTGATGACAGAATAAGGCCGTGCCTCGTAGCTTCACGTACACTCGTACGTGCAGAGGAAGACGGTAAGAAGAAGCGAGTACTTGGTCAACGTAAAACGTAGAACTGTATTTATAATAGTTAATGCCTGTTGATAAACCACTGTTTATCCTCATCTAACTATGTCTAAATGCAAATGTGCATATCAACTATCTTCTCACCACTCATCGCGTGCGTCTGTCGTGGTGCGTCTTCGTTGGTTGATATAATGGCCTATATCAAGCAATTAGGAACTACTCGTAAGTGCTGCAGAATATTTGTTCTTATGACAATATTTTGAGAATGATTCTTATAGTTATATTCTATTAACAATTTTTAATAAATTGTAATGTAACGGTTCACCCCGTTACTTTGACCGAGTAGCCAATTCAGCCTTCCGTCTCGAGCATATTCGCATTGTGTTATGCCATCACAGACACACCACCAGGCTATCAAGGTTGCTTAGTGTTGGCGTTATAGGCCACTCGATCACGAGCTGGACCCGATGAGAATAATCGCTTCTGTGACGGAGAAGGCGCGGGAGATTGGGTCATACAGGTGAAGCAGCACCAATTTTAGCCGGTTTGTTGATTGTAGAATGTGCGCGATGCTCAGCGCTTGTTTCAGTAAGACTCTTAATGTTGCTCTGCAGGTTATGCGAAAGGCACAAAAACCGGTTCGGATTGTGGTTCGTCATCGGACGCTGATGCAAAAAAGATTCCGCATTCCGTCCCGGTATGATCCAGCTATTGCAAACGGGTGTCCTTTACACTGAACTTAACTCGATCAAAGCACTCACACGATAGCAAATCAGGGACTGGACATGCTAAAGCAAGTGGGCATCTTCAATCCGTATTTTAAAACATGCAGGTTGGTAGGGGTGTGTGTGCAAATTGTAACGGGGTACCCTTTGTCTGGGTGCCACGAAACTTCACGTTCACTCGTACGTGCAGAGGAAGTGTATCTACTCATACAACTGGCTGGAGTAAATGTATAAAGAGAACTGTATATAAAATGCTAGCTATCAATACAACTTCATTCTTCATCTAACTATCTTGAACTACGTTGTAGTATGACGATAACCGTATCACACTCATTGTGCGCGTCTAGCAGCGATCGGTAGTAATCTGTGGTTGACATGTCTTTTATCAATGTAACGGGGTGAACCGTTACATAGCAATTTATGAGAAATTGTTAATAGAATATAACTTTAAGAGTTTTGTTCTCAGAATATTGTCATAAGGACAAATGTTCTGCAGCACTTTCGAGTAGTTCCTAATTGCTTGATATAGGCCATTATATCAATCAACGAAGACGCGCCACGACGGACGCACGCAATGAGTGGTGAGCAGATAGTTGATATGCACATTTGTATTTAGACATAGTTAGATGAGGATAAACAGGGGGTTTATTACAGACATTAACTATTATAAATACAGTTCTACTTTTTACTTAAACTAAGTACTCGCTTCTTCTTACCGTCTTCCTCTGCACGTACGAGTGTACGTGAAGCTACGAGGCACGGCCTTATTCTGTCATCAGAATAAGTAGCTTGTACTGTCACCAGTACAAGCTTCAGGGTGCCTCGTTACACCTGGAAGCACTTCGTAGTCCGTCCAAGGACCACGTTTACATCCAACATGAACATGTTAGATGATGAAGATGACCAAAGCTTTCACGCTACGCGTGACGGCTACTCCCATTTGAGCGATGTCGAATGGGATGCGGTTGAACGGATGGGTTCAACCATGGGCATCCATGCTGTTAGCGTCATGCTAGAGGCTCTCAATAGAGATGCCCAACATGCTACTATCGCCAAGTTCATTCAAAATGAACTTGACGCTGAACGCGAGAAAGTAGCCTTGCTTCACCAACAAGGTTCTCAACAATCAGAGTTGTTGAGAGAACAGGGTGCTCAACAGTTTGAACTGGTGAGACAGCAGCAGCCTGCTGCTGGTGGGTCGATGCACTCGCGTCGACCCGAGACCTTGAAGATTGACATCTCTAAGTATAGGGGAGTTGAAGAGGACTCCCTCTTGAGATGGTTCGTCGAATTAGACGACGCCATAAGGGCGCGTCGCATCGACGACGGGAATATGTAAGTTGCATTTGCCCAGTCAAATCTGGCAGGACGTGCCAAGACTTGGGCACTGGGGCTCAAGTTGCACGACCCATATGCGTTTGGGTCGTTGGAAGTCTTCAAGTCGCGGCTCAGACAAACGTTTGAACCGCCTAGAGCTGAGTTCAGAGCTCGAACCGAACTCTTGAAGCTCAAACAGGGTAAGCGTGATGTGCACGCTTACGTGCAACACATACGACATCTCACGAGTTGTATAAGTTCCAACCCGGTTGATGAACACACGTTGGTTTCGGTGTTCATGCAGGGTCTTGCGGATGGTCCCGTCAAGACTCACCTTTTCCAGCTTGAACTCGACTCACTAGAACAAGCCGTTTCCATTGCGGAACAGGAAGACTTCAGTCTGAGACAGGCTCGCGCCAGCTCGACATCATATCGTCAACCGAGACGATATGACAGCGGAGGTCCAGAGCCAATGGAACTCTGTTATGTAGAGAGCGAGAAGGCTCGCTCTACAGACTACAAGAAGTTGCAGAAATGCAACAGATGTCAGAAGACAGGACACTACGCTTACGAGTGTAGTGCCCTCGTCCAGTGTCTCGCAACACTGGGCGTAGTGACCGTCCATCCATGAGAAAGGGGCAGGGACGCGGGTCCGCTGTTGGTGCAAAGACGCAACAACGGGATGGACCTTCAAAAAACGGACAGGATCAGTAGGTGCGGAGCACCCTACTGGTCCAGCAACGTCAAGAGAATTTGTAGGCCTATTGATGAAGGTTGCTCCCAACACACAACTATTGTGCGTTGCTGCTCTAGGTAATGAGGTCTCACTCATTACCTTGAAACTCGAAGTGACGAATAAGTTGTCCCTTCGAGCTCTAGTCGATTGTGGGGCGTCCAACAATTTTGTGCGACGCCAATCGCTAGAAGATGGTCACTTAAAATTCAGTGAATGTGACACACCTCCTACAAGGATGACGGTACGTCTTGCGACAGGCGCATCCGTAACCGTCATGAAGCGTATAGTGAAGATCCACTATACGCTAGAAGATACCCAATATGACGATGACTTTATCGTATTGGATTTGGATGACAAATTTGATGTCATCCTTGGAATACCGTGGCTCAGAAGGTACGAACCACGGGTAAACTGGCAACATCGGACAGTAACGATGCCTGCCGCTTGTTCATCAGATGGCCATCTGATGAACGTTTTGAGCGTCCACAAGCGTGTGGATGTACTACGAGTGAGTGCGATGGCCTCACTTGTGGTACGGTCGTTAGTACGACTGCACGGAACCTTAGAGTACCAAACGGTTACACTTCGGAGCAAAGTTCCGGCGGCTGTGAGGAAACACAGGCTGTGCCGAAGGTCCACCACTCGAATAAGTCGAGTGGACTGGGACAAAGATGTATCCCTAGCGGGGAACATCTAGAAGAGAAACGATCGATCGCTCAGGTTAAGCGAAACGATAATCCTAGATCGACTGGAGAGTATTTCGTAGAGGATCTCGCTGTGGTTGCGCAACCCCAGCTAGAGGAAGTAAAGGGAATAAGTCCCAATATTACAAATACGGCAGAAATAAGTTCCCCGAAAACCGCGGGAATAAGTCCCCGGGAAGCCGAAGGAATAAGTCCCCAGGAAATGACAGAGACATTGAATGTCATAGTCAATAACGGATCAAGTGTAGGCGCTTATACACTTGATCTGATTGCGCCTCCGAAGTTGACTTCGGAGATCACTCAGTTGCCAACGCTCGAACAAAAAGGTTCTTGCGTGATCTGCGTAGTGGCAAAGTCAAGCAGATCTGCGTACTCGTCGCTGACGACGAGTGCGTAGACGACATAAGATCAGCAACAGTGTTTACTGAGAACGAGAGAGTTCTCAGTAGTTCATCGATGGACGAGAGCGACCTCGATGAAAAGACACGAATTGAGCGATATGACTTTCAATCGTGGGAATCCTCAAGACGAATCCTCTCTATGAAGATTTGGTTGAATTCAAGGATGTATTCCCTGAAACTGTTCCGTGCGAGTTACCGAAGGATAAAGGTATTCGACACGAGGTCGAGCTTAAACCAGGCTCGAAGTACTGTGTCATGAAGCAGTGGCCACTGCCTCGTGAACAAGTACTTGCGATCGACAAGTTCTTTGCCGATCGTTTAGCTGCGGGCCATGTGAGGGAATCAACTTCCCCACATAGCTCTCCGACCTTCTGTGTGCGAAAAGCAACAGGAGGGTGGCGGATAGTGCACGCGTTCAACAAATTGAACGCTGCAACGTTACCGGATCAGACGCCGATACCGAGGAAGGACGTAATCATTGATGGTATGTCAAAGAGTACCATCTTTTCGACCATGGATTTGATGGATGGCTTCTATCAAATCCTTATGCGAGAACGGGATATACCCTATACCGCAGTTAGCACGCCCCCAGCGGCATGCTCTGGGAATGGCTAGTAATGCCACAAGGGCTTAGTAATGCCCCTGCCACATTCAGCATATGTGTATCACATTTGTTGAGACCAGTACGAGAATTCGCGCCGAGTTATTTCGATGACATATTCATCCATAGTCGGGCTATGGATGGAAAGTCGGACGTTGAGGTTCACAGATACCACGTCCGACAGGTTCTTACAATCGTGCGAAAGCATCAATTGTATGCCAACCTCAAGAAGTGTATATTTGCAGCAAGCAAAATGCCACTTCTTAAGTGCATCGTTGGTAAGAACGGTGTACGTCCTGATCCCGAAAAGATCAAGGCGATCACCGACTGGCCTGTGCCAGTTGATGTCAAAGGTCTTCGAAAATTCCTTGGGCTAGCGGCGTATATGCATAAGTATTCACGCAATTACGCCGAGATGACTGTGCACCTCTCTCGTTTGTTGAAAAAGAACGAGAGGTGGGTATGGAACGCTGAATGTCAGCGCTCCTTTGATGGTATCAAGCAGAGCTTGATACAATCCCCAGTCCTAGCAATAGCCGATCAAGACAGGCCATTTCATGTGGTCTGTGATGCCAGCGATTTCGCAATCGGCTGTGCATTAATGCAGTACGACCTAGAAGGCGTTGAACGCGTCGTCTGCTATCAGTCGCGTCAGCTGCAACCAGCTGAGCGGAACTATCCAGTGCATGACAAGGAACGCCTTGCCATGAAGTATGCACTTGCGAAGTTCAGAGTCTATCTATTAGGAGATAGATCCTGCATTGTTTACACTGACCATGCGTCATTACGCACGGCAGTGAACAGCCCGCACCTTTCACAACGAATGGCGCGGTGGTTGTCATTCTTTGCAGAATACAACTTTACGGTCGAGTACAAACCAGGACGACTTAATGTCGTCGCTGATGCACTCTCACGTCGTCCCGACTTTGAACCAGTCGTGAAACCCAACAGTGAGACAGTCACTGTTGCGGTTATGACGTCCTCAGTACCATCTACAACGTTGCATGATGATGTGAGGCGGGCATACGCCCAAGATGGTGAGATTGTGAAGTTGTTGACACATCTCTCACAGCCATCTCGAGAATCGTTGAAACGATTATCGTCTGCGTATCGATCTGCATCAGATCGATACACTACTCGTAACGGTTTACTGTATTATACAGCCGTTTCTGGTGACACACCACGTGTTGTCATTCCAGATGATACTGATCTGCGTTTGCGGATCATGTTCGAGTATCACGCTGCTCCTATAGGAGGACATCGTGGCCGAGAGAAAACATATCTCACGGTGAGTCGAGACTTTTACTGGCCCCGCCAGTATCAGTTTGTGCGAAAGTATGTTCGCGCATGCGAAGTCTGTCAACGAGTGAAGTCAAGTCCTTCACTGCGTGCACCTTTACAGCCTCTACCGGTTCCGGCTGAGTGCTGAGAATCCATCTCAATGGATTTCGTCTTCGGGTTACCCAAAGACGCACGCGGGAATACGGGTATTCTCGTATTTGTTGACAGATTCAGCAAAATGGTACACCTTGTGGCTGTACCAGAGACAATCACGGCAAGTGGCTGTGCTTGTGTCTTTATCGACACAATCTTCCGACTTCATGGGTTGCCCCGTGAACTCGTATCAGACAGAGATTTACGCTTCACTGCTGATTTCTGGCGCTCCGTGTTCAAATCACTCGGAACGCGCTTGAAGATGTCGACATCTGATCATCCAGAAACAGATGGTCGGACGGAGCGAGCCAATCGTGTCCTCGAAGAGATACTTCGAGGATACGTACACTCCTTTAAGAGTTGGAGTGAGTTTTTGCCTATGGTAGAGTTTGTCATTAACAACTCGGTGCATGCGTCCACGACACATACACCGTTTTATGTGAATGGCTTGCGCCATCCGCGTGTACCCACCTTACTCGAGTGCAACTCTGGTTTCAGGGGGGAAAGAGTCGCGCGAGCAAAAACCGATTTGGTTCACGCTCATCACGCTCTGACGAAGAGGTCATTGCGTTTGATGCCGATATCGATAACATCGATATCGAAGAAGATGATGCCAGTGAGAGTGTGGAAGCCCTCACTGAAGAAAAGGCTGATGTTGCTGCAGTGCGCTCACAGCGCACTGAAGCTAACGAGTCATCAGATGAGTTCATACTGGCTCGTGAAACGGTAGTCCGTTTTGTGCAAGACTCCATCGCCGAAGCGGTGGATAAGCAAAAGCAAAACGCTGACAAGAATGGAAGGGCAAACACTCTTCTTGTTTAATAAAGGTGACTTAGTCCTACTGTCTACGCTTAATCTACCAAAGCATGTAGTGACTAACTTGGGTAGCAGTAAACTACTACCCAAGTACATTGGCCCATTTCATGTATTGCACCGCCTAGGCAATGCATACACGATCGAGTTGCCACGTAAGATGCGAACGCATCCCAAGTTTTACGTTGGTCGGCTTAAGCCGTACCATCAGTACGCTGCTTCTTCCGATGAAGAGCGCCCTTGCGCTCAAGTATCTCGCAGAGAGCTTTGTGCTCCCGATGGTGGGCATCGACAAGGGTCTGAAGAGCAGCTATCTCATCTCGAGACCGATCAATAATCCCACGAGCTACCCTTAGCTCGTCACGAAGAGATGTCAGAGATCTCTCGTTCTCAAGCTGAGCAAAGGCAGACTCAGCTCGATGCTTCGAGGCAGTGTCCGCCATTTGGAGACGCCTGTCCCGCTCATGTTCGAGATCGTCGCGTAACCCTTGCGTTACGCGATCAAAGAAGCTCTCGGGAACACACCGATCCCCCCGATTGTGTGGAGAGCGTCTTCCCTCCTCCTCCACCTCCATTGGAGGACTCTCGCGGTGGCCAGCGCTATCTGGATGAGCAGCTGTTGAACCACCGCGATATAAACGGACGTCGGACGAGCTACCACGTGCGGTGGCGCGGCTATCCTCCGTCCTGGGATTCTTGGGAGCCCCGCTCCCAACTGATGATCGACGTACTGGGTCTGGTTGAGCAGTACGACGCGGCACATCCTGTGCCGCAGAAGGACCGCCGGAGAAAGTCTTCCCGGCACGGTCGTAAAGGGATTTCAAGTTGTCAATCCCTTCGTACATCTCAATAGAGATACGTACGCGCCACCACGGGCTATTAGGGAGGTAAGCCTCCTTAGGTGCTCGTGCAGAGTTGTTCACACAACATGGGCACGGGTCTCCCCAGGAAAGACAGGGTAATCCCTTCTCCCTTGACAGACGATGCAGCTTGTAGCGTGCACCTGTCGGGGTTCGCTTTTCAAACTTATCACGAGCTTTGATAAGTTTGTCGTTCCAAGCGTCACGACCTAAATCCTCAAGGTTATGGACGTATGCGTTCCACGCTTGAAGCAGTGAGGGACCATCACGTTTGTGATTCCCACTGTACCATCGATGTCTAAGAAAAGCATCGATGAAGAATTCGTTTTCAGCGCGATAGTTTTTCGCGCTGGGGTCAAGGTGATGGATCCTTGATAAATCGAACAATCGTGTTCGACAGCGATTACTCGTCGTCGCCGACAAGTGATCCATGACAGATTTTGGAGGCATCCATGCCTTCTTCTCAGGAGCGAGACGCAAGACACAGCGGTCCCGCTCTTCTTGCGACGTACCGACAGAAGTACTGGCACCTCGTTGCGAAGTGGTGTCAATAAGAGAACCGACGCCACTGTGAGCGCCCGAGTCTTGCGACCTTTAGCTCCTTTGCTTCGGCGCTGGTTCACCTGATTCGTCAGATGAACCAAAGATGCTACGACGCGTTGCATCATCAATGCCACGCTTGGCAGGCGGATTGGTTTCGATCGCCGTCGATACGGATCCATCTTCCGTATCGGGAGAGTATGATACGCCGAGCCCCAACTCTGTGAAGACGTGAGTGTATTCATGACGAGCGTCTGCATCACCAGGTGACACAGACTGAGACGCTTTGGCAACCTATGACACATCGGTTGCAGCGGTTTCTGCTTCGGCGTCTGCACAGAGACAGGCAGATGCGCTCTCAGCTGCCTTGTTCGCGCATCGCATGGGCTTGTTTACCATGCGATGAAATTAATGGACTGTGGACTCGAACCAACAAGTGCAAACCCTGTCCCAAATGATTTGGGACGAGTATCCATTTAGTCAATCAGTCACTAAAGTGACCGATGGTTAAGGGGGGGGGTGATGTAACGGGGTGAACCATTACATAACAATTTATTAGAAATTGTTAATAGAATATAACTATAAGAATCATTCTCAAAATATTGTCATAAGAACAAATATTCTGCAGCACTTACGAGTAGTTCCTAATTGCTTGATATAGGCCATTATATCAACCAACGAAGACGCGCCACGACAGACGCACGCAATGAGTGGTGAGAAGATAGTTGATATGCACATTTGCATTTAGACATAGTTAGATGAGGATAAACAGTGGTTTATCAACAGACATTAACTATTATAAATACAGTTCTACTTCTCTTTAACCAAGTACTCGCTTCTTCATACCGTCTTCCTCTGCATGTACCAGTGTACGTGAAGTTACGAGGCACGGCCTTATTCTGTCATCAGAATAAGTAGCTTGTACTGTCATCAGTACAAGCTTCAGGGTGCCTCCTTACAATTAACCAATCTTTAAGAAGCACATGAATATTATCCTACAAGGGATGATATTCCTTTAATATTGACCATCTCGGATAATATTGGTAGAATATTGTCATGCTAGACAATATTCCTATTGACACCGTTTGGTGTCAATTTTATGTAGCGGGCTACCCCGTTACATCGCCCCCCCCTTAACCATCAATCACCCGTTGATTGAAAATAGAATTGATCGGTAACACGGTGATCAATGTTAGGTCACTCCGGGAAAGGGAAGCACTTGTTGGTCAAATTCCAACTCATTTGCAAATTCATCACACGGTATCAAAGTCTCTGCGGTGCGTTGCTCAAGCTATTAGGGAGGCAGCTGCACGCATGCGTGCCGCCCAAGAAATTACTTCTCAAGCCTCAGCAGCAAGTGATTATTCGCCTGCTGTTGCAAGGGAGCAACACGCAGTGCCTGTTGCTACTTTGACACGTGGTGAGTCACCACGTGCTACAGATGCATCCGCTGCGTCTGCAGCAGATGCTGCGACTCACAATTTGGATGAGCCTGAAACCGAGCTCATCTATTCCGGCGAGTCTAATGCATCGTTCGAGTCGAAGGCGGCGCCTCCTGCCTTCGGATGACCCGGAGCGGACATTGCCAGAGCCAGTCAACGTGGCGGCATCATGCTCAAGATCTTTGGATCGAGCGATTCTTCTGACAAATCTGCGCCTCACGCAAGTCCATCTGACACCAGGACGCGTGGTGATGGTTGTGACACACCTATGCGTCACCACAAGAGAAGCAGCTCGAGAGATCGAGCTGATACTGGTGTGAGTGCTCATGCTGACACCACACAATCAGTCAGGGACCGCAATGTCCGGCGCCATGCTCCACAAGTAGAGCATTTTATTCCACCATCCAAGGCGTTAGATTGAGTGAACGGTATGACCAATGAACGGGATCGAATCTTGCTGTCTGACTGCAGGAGAAACTGTCATTTTAATTCCAGCACGGAAACTATCCATGCTGGGGAAGAATTCTTCACCGATGTGTTTTTCAAACAAATTCTTGACCGTTGTGTTGTTCAAACATCGGCGGTACAACGACAACGTGGCCAACCGTGGCCGAGACTTTAAGGACTTGGTGCAAGGATGGAATGCCCTCAACCACAACATCGAGTGCATAGGCCGTGAGGCTTGGCTCGCCAAACTTGATGCAGTTTGCATCCGGTTTGAGAAACGCAACCCAGTCGGTGTACGGTACAAGTTGCACCGGCTGTCAAGAGAGGCAGGATTACCCTATCTCTCGTGGGGTGATTTGTGTCCAGGTTGCCTGGACAACTCGAACCGTGCCCCTAGGGAGGCCTGCCTCCCTAATGATCCCTACTGGAGGGCACGCATCTCTTCTGAGATGACCGAAGGGATTGATACTTTGCAATCCCTGTACTCGCGTTCGGGGAGGTCGTTTTCTGACGGCCCTTCTTCAAACGCAGCAGGTGGGTCTCGTCGTACTGCTCGACGAAACCAAGGACATCAACAATCAGCTGGGCACGAGTCTCCCAGCTGTCCTAGGCCGATGCAAAAGCCATTCACGTCGCGGTGGTTCAAAATACGCTTCACTAGGAAGCATTGACCACCGCTTGAGTCTGCCAAAGGATGTGGTGGTGGCGGGAACACCTGATCCGGCTCGAGGGTCGGATCAACTTGATGTTCAAGAGCTGAACCGTCTAACGGAACAGTTGCAAGATGACCTGGCTCATGAACGGTCTCGGCGCTATGAGCTCCATGACCTTGTAAAGGATAGTTACATTTCCTTAGCGCACGATCGCTCGAGCGATTGTGCCACGCTTGCTTTCGCACAACTTAAGAACGAACGTTCGACTCTTTCTCTTCGTGACGAGATGGCTGCAGCTCGTCAAGGCATCGCTCAACTTCGTGAGCAGGTCGCTTCGCTAGTCGACCAGACTGGCTCGTTGAAACGGGACCACTCGAAGGTGGTCTCAGCCCTCGACCGCGGAGGTGTTCTTCGCATCTCGAAACGGAATCGTACTGTTATTACGGGCGGAGAAGCTCAACGTAAAACGTAGGATGCGTACGCATCTTACGGGGGGTGTTCAATCGTGTATGCGTTGCTCATTCGGCGCAACACACGAAATGGACCAATATACTTGTGTAGTAATTTACTGCCCAAGTTTGACAATGCGTGTTTCGGTAGCTTTACTGTAGACAGTAAAACTAAGTCTCCTTCGTCAAATGAAAGAGCATTTGCTCTTCCATGTTTGTCGGCGTTTCATTACTGCTTGTCTATTGCATCTGCAATAGAGTCTTGAACGAAGCGGACAACCGCTTCGCGAGTCAACTGAAGTTCCTCTGCTGATTCATCCATGTCAACGGCAGTGCGCTTCGTGTGCACTGCTGAAAGAACGTTGACTTCATCAGTGTGGGCGTCATCGTCCTCACTTTGGCAGTCATTGGCGATGCTGAATATTCCAGCATCGTCGTCATCATCATCATCGATATCGATCGCATCGTTATCGGTCATCCATCACGTCGACACCATTGTCTACGGGTGATGAGCAAGAATTAGATCGGGTTTTGTTCGAGCGAGTCCACCCCCCAAACTAGAGTCACACTCTAAGAAGGCGGGTAAACGTGGATGGCGTAGGCTATTCACGAAGAATGGGGTATGCTTTGAGACGCATGCACCTAATTGTGTATGGCGAATTTCGCATCGGCAAGAACTCTCCAACTCGTAAACGAGTGGACATACCCTCGAAGTATCTCTTCGAGGACGCGGTTGACGAGTTCCATCCGACCATCTGTTTCTGGATGGTCAGAAGTTGGCATCTTCAACCGAGTTCCAAGGGAACGGAACACGGATTGCCAATATTCCGCTGTGAAGCGGGGGTCCCTGTCAGACACGAGTTCACGGGATAACCCGTGAAGGCGGAAGATTGTATTAACACAGACACGAGCACAGCCCTGGACTGTGATCGACTCCCGGTACAGCAACAAGATGTACCATCTTGCTGAATCGATCAACAAACACAAGAATACCAGTATTCTTGTGAGCGTCTTTGGGAAACCAAAAGACGAAGTCCATCAATACGGACTGCCAACACTCTGCCGGGATCGGTAGAGGCTGAAAGGGTGCACGGGATGAAGGACTAGGCTTCACCCGCAGGCAAAACTTTGCAAGCGCGAATGTATTTGCGCACAAAATTGCATTGGCGGGGCCAGTAGAAGTCACGACTTACCGTGAGGCAAGTCTTTTCTCTACCGTGATGCCCACTTGTTGGGGCATCGTGACACCCATACATGATGCCCAATCGCAAATCATTATGAGCCGGAACGACGACACGAGGTGTGTCACCGTTGACTGCTGTATAGTACATCAGTCCATCACGAACCGAATACCGTTCGGTTGAAGAGCGGTATTGAGACGACAAACTTTTCAAAGTATGACTGCATGGATTGGACACGTAATACATCAATCGCAGAAGGGACTCATCTTCTGTGTATGCTTTTCGCACGTCGTCGAGCAGATTCGACGACGGAACACTCACTGTTAGTGTTGCTACAGTGGGATCACCCCTACTGTGGTGTTGAGCAGTCGGTTCGAAATCGGGCTGACGCGAAAGAGCATCAGCGACGACATTAAGTCGTCCGGGTTTATACATGACGGAGAAGTTGTACTCCGCGAAGAAAGAAAGCCACCTCGCCATTCGTTGCAAGAGGTGTGGACTGTTTACGGCCGTGCGTAACGACGCATGGTCGGTGTAAACGATGAAGGGCCTTTCTCCTAAGAGATATACCAGAAACTTGGCCAGTGCACATTTCATGGCAAGGAGCTCCTTGTCATGCACGGGGGTAATTACCCTCAGCTGCTTGCAGCTGACGCGATTGATAACAGACGACGCGCTCAACGCCGTCTGAGTCGTACTGCATTAACGCGCAGCCGATTGCAAAATCGCTGGCGTCACAGACCACATGGTATGGTCTGTCCTGTCTGCAATCGCCAACACAGGCGATTGTATCAAACTTTTCTTGATAACTTCAAAGGAGTGCTGACACTCAGCACTTAATGACCACCTCTCGTTTTTCTTTAGCAGACGAGAGAGAGGTACGGTCATCTCGGCGTAGTTGCGCGAGTACTTGTGCAAGTACGCCGCGAAGTCAAGAAACTTTCGAAGTCCCTTGACGTCAACTGGCACAGGCCAGTCGCTAATCACCTCGATCTTTTCCGGATCAGGGCGTACGCCGTTTTTACCCACGATGCAGCCAAGAAGTAGCATTTCGTTCGCTGCGAATATACACTTCTTGAGGTTCGCGAACAACTTACGCTCTCGCTTAAGTGTAAGGACCTTCTGGAAGTGGAAATTGTGAATCTCCACGTCCGTCTTTCCATCCATAGCCCGGCTATGGACGAATACATCGTCAAAGTAACTCGGTGCGAAGTCACGCACCAGTCGAAACAGATTCGTATCACATCTGTTGACCGTTGCAGGGGCGTTACTTAGCCCCTGTGGTATCACTAGCCACCCCCAGAGCATAACACTCCGGGTACTCACTGCTGTGTACGGGATGTCCCGTCCACGCATGCGGATCTGATAGAATCTATCCGTCAGATACATGGACTGAAAAGATGGTACTTTTTGCCATACCATTAATGATGACGTCCTTCCTCGGTATCGGCGTCCGAGCCGGTACCGTTGCAACGTCCACTTTTGTTTAACGCGTGCACTATCCGCCATCCTCCTGTGGCCTTTCGCACACAGAAGGTCGGAGAGCTGTGTGGGGATGCTGTTTCCCTCACATGACCAGCCGCTAAGCAATCGGCACAGAATTTTTTCGATCGCTGTGGCCTGTTCACGAGGCAGTGGCCACTGCTTCATGACACAGTACTTCGAACCGGGTTTCAGTTCGATTTATCGTCGAGTGCCTTTGTCCTGGGGCAGCTCGCATGGCACGGATTCAGGTAAAACATTCCTGAAATCGACCAAATCCTTATAGAAGGATTTGTCTTCAAAGTCTCCCAAGATTGAGACATTTATCGCTCAATCCGGGTGCTCTCATCGAGGACACTATCGTCCATCGATGAGCTACTGAGAACCCGTTCGTTCTCAGCAAACACTTGTGCCGACCGAATATCGGCGACGTACTCGTCCTATGTGACGAGTACGCAGATCTGCTTGACCTTGTCACTATGCAGATCTCGCAAGAATCTTTTGAGTTCTAGCGTTGGCAACTTGATTACCTCCGAAGATGAGTTCGGAGGTGTAACCAGATCAAGTGTATATGCTTCTACACTTGATCCGTCATTCACCAAGACATTCACTGTCTCGGTGATTTCCTGGGAAAACACATCCGCAGGTGGTAAGGGATCCACACCCTCAACATTACTGTCTCGGGAGTTATTACTCTCAGGAACGCTGGTCTTCCGTTACGAGTACTACCACAGTCACGTCCTCTTCGATTGACTATCTTTCAGTCGAACGGGTTTGCTCTACGATCGACTCTCTGATAGTCGATCTCGCTTCGACGTGTTGTTCATCCTGAATAACACTAATCTCTCTTCTCGGATGCACCCTTCCTGGTATGCATCCGTGTTCCAGTCCACTCGATCTCTTCAAGTGGTGAGCCTTCGGCAAAGCCTGTGTCTCTACACAGGTGCCGGAAGCTGGTTCCACAGTGCAGTGGCCTTCTACACTGTGATCGTGTGCATTCATGATAACGACCGTACCACAAGTGAGGCCATCGCACTCACTCGTAGTACACCCACACGCTTGTGGAAGCTCCAAGACGTTCACCAGATGGCCATCTAATGAACAAACGGCAGGCATCTTCACGAATCGATGCTGCCAGCTGATCTATGGCTGTTACTTTCTAAGTCATGTCAGACCGAGGATGACATCAAATTTCATTTAGATCCAGTACGATGAAGCCATCATTGTACTGCCTTCCTTCTAGTGTGTAGTAGATTCTCCCTACACGTTTGTTCTCTGTTACGGATGCTCCTGTAGCAAGTCCCACCGTCATCCTCGTTGGAGGGAACTCTGGCTCAACATAGTTGAGCCTACTATCCTCTAGCGACTGGCGTCGAAAAATCTGTTCAACGCCCCAAAGTCAACTAGGGCGCGAAGTGATATTCCACTTGTCACTTCGATCTTCAAAGGGATGAGGTACACCTCATCACTAGGGGCAGTAACACACAGCGACTGTGGGTTGGGATCAATCTTCGTCAAGATTCCTGCAAATTCTCTTGACGTTGCTGGATCAGCAGGGAGAACCACCCCTACTGACCCTGAGCGTTTCTTGACGGTCCGACTTGCTGTTGCGGCTTAGCGACATGGTCGGACCCGCGCCTTGGACCTTTCCTCAGCCAACGGTGGTCATCACGTTCTCTGGACGTGATGCGGTGCTTGTGACACTACACTCATGAGAGTTGTGTCCAGTCTTCTGACAGCGATGTCATCTTGCCGCTCGATTGTGACTCAGAGAGCGAGGGTTCTCGCTCCCGATGTAATAGAGGTCCATGGGCTCGAGACCTCCTGTTTCCTGTCGCTCGTCGGACGATAGTTTGACGAGTTAGCCTGAAAATGTCTCAGGCTGAAGTCTTCTTGTTCCGCATACACTATCGCATTTTCCAGCGTATGGAAGTCCTCTTGGAACATGTAGGTCTTCACCGAACCATCTACAAGACCGTAGATGAACACGTTGATGAGCGTGTGCTCATTAACAGGATTCTCCGTGACGCTACTCGCAAGGTTGCGCATGTGTTGTGCGTAAGCGTGCACGTCACGCTTACCTTGCTTGAACCTTAAGAGTGCAGAGCGTGCTCTAAACTCGGCTCTCGGCGGCTCAACGTCTCTTTGAGCCGAAACTTCAAGATATCCAACGACTCAAACACTTTAGGTCGTGAAGCTTGAGCCCTAAGGCTCAAGTCTTTGCTCTTCCTGTCAAATTTGACAGGGCGAAGGTGACTTGCATCTCGTCACCCCCGATGTGACGGGCTCTGATGGCGTCGTCTAACTCGACAAATACCAATCTCAAAGAGATAATCTGCATTGGTTCCCTCGTACCTTGAGATATCGATCTTCAAGGTTTCGGGTCGACGCATATGCGTCGTCCCGCCCATCGACTGATGAGAGCCTTGCTGCTGTAGCAAGGCTATCTTCTGTCGTTCGACGGCAAGTTCCCCTTGTAGTAACTTGTTGATAGTAGCATGTTGCTGTTATCTGCTTCGAGACTCCAACGTGCCACTGATGGCGGGTTCGCCCATGAGCACGCTCATGCAGTCAACTACCTCCCATTGTTGTCACTCATATGTGAGTAGCCTTCACGTGTGACGTGAAAGCTGTCGTCTTCAACGTCCAACATTTTCATGTTGGACGGACTACGAATTGCTACCAGGTGTAACAAGGCACCCTTTGTTTGGGGTGACGCGAACTTCACGTACACTAGTCCGTGCAGAGGAAGCTAATCTACGTGAACGACTCGGTCAAGTAAAGGTCAAAACAGAACTGTATTTAATATAGCTAGGCTATCAGTACAGCTTTAATCTTTATCTAACTATATTAAAGTACGCCGTCGTTTGACGACAACCTGCTCACCACTCATTGCGCGCGTCTAGCAGCGATTGGTGGCAATCGATGGTTGATACGTCTTTTATCAATCAATCTTTGAGCAGCGCATGAATATTATCCTACAAGGGATGATATTCCTTTAATATTGACCATCTCGGATAATATTGGTAGAATATTGTCATGCTAGACAATATTCCTATTGACACCGTTTGGTGTCAATGTCATGTAACGGGCTACCCCGTTACATCACCCCCCCTTAACCATCAATCACCCGTTGATTGAAAATAGAATTGATCGGTAACACGGTGATCAATGTTAGGTCACTCCGGGAAAGGGAAGCACTTGTTGGTCGAATTCCAACTCATTTGCAAATTCATCACACGGTATCAAAGTCTCTGCGGTGCGTTGCTCAAGCTATTAGGGAGGCAGCTGCGCATGCGTGCAGCCCAAGAAATTACTTCTCAAGCCTCAGCAGCAAGTGATCATTCGCCTGCTGTTGCAAGTGAGCAACATGCAGTGCCTGTTGCTACTTTTACACGTGGTGAGTCACCACGTGCTACAGATGCATCCGCTGCGTCTGCAGCAGATGCTGCGACTCACAATTTGGATGAGCCTAAAACAGAGCTCATCTATTCTGGCGAGTCGGACGCATCGTTCGAGTCGAGGGCGGCGCCTTCTGCCTCCGGATGACCCGGAGCGGACACTGCCAGAGCCAGTCAACGTGGCGGCATCATGCTCGAGATCTTTGGATCGAGCGATTCTTCTGACAAATCTGCGCCTCACGCAAGTCCATCTGACACCAGGACGCGTGGTGATGGTAGTGACACACCTATACGTCACCAAAATAGAAGCAGCTCGAGAGATTGAGCTGATACTGGTGTGAGTGCTCATGCTGACACCACACAATCAGTCAGGGACCGCAATGTCCCGCGCCATGCTCCACAAGTAGAGCATTTTATTCCACCATCCAAGGCGTTAGATTGAGTGACCGGTATGACCAATGAACGGGATCGAATCTCGCTGTCTGACTGCAGGAGAAACTGTCCTTTTAATTCCAGCACGGAAACTATCCATGCTGGGGAAGAATTCTTCACCGATGTGTTTTTCAAACAAATTCTTGACCGTTGTGTTGTTCAAACATCGGCGGTACAACGACAACGTGGCCAACCGTGGCCGAGACTTTAAGGACTTGGTGCAAGGATGGAATGCCCTCAACCACAACATCGAGTGCATAGGCCGTGAGGCTTGGCTCGCCAAACTTGATGCAGTTTGCATCCGGTTTGAGAAACGCAACCCAGTCGGTGTACGGTACAAGTTGCACCGGCTGTCAAGAGAGGCAGGATTACCCTATCTCTCGTGGGGTGATTTGTGTCCAGGTTGCCTGGACAACTCGAACCGTGCCCCTAGGGAGGCCTGCCTCCCTAATGATCCCTACTGGAGGGCACGCATCTCTTCTGAGATGACCGAAGGGATTGATACTTTGCAATCCCTGTACTCGCGTTCGGGGAGGTCGTTTTCTGACGGCCCTTCTTCAAACGCAGCAGGTGGGTCTCGTCGTACTGCTCGACGAAACCAAGGACATCAACAATCAGCTGGGCACGAGTCTCCCAGCTGTCCTAGGCCGATGCAAAAGCCATTCACGTCGCGGTGGTTAAAAATACGCTTCACTAGGAAGCATTGGCCACCGCTTGAGTCTACCAAAGGATGTGGTGGTGGCGGGAACACCTGATCCGGCTCGAGGGTCGGATCAACTTGATGTTCAAGAGCTGAACCGTCTAACGGAACAGTTGCAAGATGACCTGGCTCATGAACGGTCTCGGCGCTATGAGCTCCATGACCTTGTAAAGGATAGTTACATTTCCTTAGCGCACGATCGCTCGAGCGATTGTGCCACGCTTGCTTTCGCACAACTTAAGAACGAACGTTCGACTCTTTCTCTTCGTGACGAGATGGCTGCAGCTCGTCAAGGCATCGCTCAACTTCGTGAGCAGGTCGCTTCGCTAGTCGACCAGACTGGCTCGTTGAAACGGGACCACTCGAAGGTGGTCTCAGCCCTCGACCGCGGAGGTGTTCTTCGCATCTCGAAACGGAATCGTACTGTTATTACGGGCGGAGAAGCTCAACGTAAAACGTAGGATGCGTACGCATCTTACGGGGGTGTTCAATCGTGTATGCGTTGCTCATTCGGCGCAACACACGAAATGGACCAATATACTTGTGTAGTAATTTACTGCCCAAGTTTGACAATGCGTGTTTCGGTAGCTTTACTGTAGACAGTAAAACTAAGTCTCCTTCGTCAAATGAAAGAGCATTTGCTCTTCCATGTTTGTCGGCGTTTCATTACTGCTTGTCTATTGCATCTGCAATAGAGTCTTGAACGAAGCGGACAACCGCTTCGCGAGTCAACTGAAGTTCCTCTGCTGATTCATCCATGTCAACGGCAGTGCGCTTCGTGTGCACTGCTGAAAGAACGTTGACTTCATCAGTGTGGGCGTCATCGTCCTCACTTTGGCAGTCATTGGCGATGCTGAATATTCCAGCATCGTCGTCATCATCATCATCGATATCGATCGCATCGTTATCGGTCATCCATCACGTCGACACCATTGTCGACGGGTGATGAGCAAGAATTAGATCGGGTTTTGTTCGAGCGAGTCCACCCCCCAAACTAGAGTCACACTCTAAGAAGGCGGGTAAACGTGGATGGCGTAGGCTATTCACGAAGAATGGGGTATGCTTTGAGACGCATGCACCTAATTGTGTATGGCGAATTTCGCATCGGCAAGAACTCTCCAACTCGTAAACGAGTGGACATACCCTCGAAGTATCTCTTCGAGGACGCGGTTGACGAGTTCCATCCGACCATCTGTTTCTGGATGGTCAGAAGTTGGCATCTTCAACCGAGTTCCAAGGGAACGGAACACGGATTGCCAATATTCCGCTGTGAAGCGGGGGTCCCTGTCAGACACGAGTTCACGGGATAACCCGTGAAGGCGGAAGATTGTATTAACACAGACACGAGCACAGCCCTGGACTGTGATCGACTCCAGTACAGCAACAAGATGTACCATCTTGCTGAATCGATCAACAAACACAAGAATACCAGTATTCTTGTGAGCGTCTTTGGGAAACCAAAAGACGAAGTCCATCAATACGGACTGCCAACACTCTGCCGGGATCGGTAGAGGCTGAAAGGGTGCACGGGATGAAGGACTAGGCTTCACCCGCAGGCAAACTTTGCAAGCGCGAATGTATTTGCGCACAAAATTGCATTGGCGGGGCCAGTAGAAGTCACGACTTACCGTGAGGCAAGTCTTTTCTCTACCGTGATGCCCACTTGTTGGGGCATCGTGACACCCATACATGATGCCCAATCGCAAATCATTATGAGCCGGAACGACGACACGAGGTGTGTCACCGTTGACTGCTGTATAGTACATCAGTCCATCACGAACCGAATACCGTTCGGTTGAAGAGCGGTATTGAGACGACAAACTTTTCAAAGTATGACTGCATGGATTGGACACGTAATACATCAATCGCAGAAGGGACTCATCTTCTGTGTATGCTTTTCGCACGTCGTCGAGCAGATTCGACGACGGAACACTCACTGTTAGTGTTGCTACAGTGGGATCACCCCTACTGTGGTGTTGAGCAGTCGGTTCGAAATCGGGCTGACGCGAAAGAGCATCAGCGACGACATTAAGTCGTCCGGGTTTATACATGACGGAGAAGTTGTACTCCGCGAAGAAAGAAAGCCACCTCGCCATTCGTTGCAAGAGGTGTGGACTGTTTACGGCCGTGCGTAACGACGCATGGTCGGTGTAAACGATGAAGGGCCTTTCTCCTAAGAGATATACCAGAAACTTGGCCAGTGCACATTTCATGGCAAGGAGCTCCTTGTCATGCACGGGGTAATTAACCTCAGCTGCTTGCAGCTGACGCGATTGATAACAGACGACGCGCTCAACGCCGTCTGAGTCGTACTGCATTAACGCGCAGCCGATTGCAAAATCGCTGGCGTCACAGACCACATGGTATGGTCTGTCCTGTCTGCAATCGCCAACACAGGCGATTGTATCAAACTTTTCTTGATAACTTCAAAGGAGTGCTGACACTCAGCACTTAATGACCACCTCTCGTTTTTCTTTAGCAGACGAGAGAGAGGTACGGTCATCTCGGCGTAGTTACGCGAGTACTTGTGCAAGTACGCCGCCAAGCCAAGGAACTTTCAAAGTCACTTGACGTCAACTGGCACAGGCCAGTCGCTAATCACCTCGATCTTTTCCGGATCAGGGCGTACGCCGTTTTTACCCACGATGCAGCCAAGAAGTAGCATTTCTTTCGCTGCGAATATACACTTCTTGAGGTTCGCGAACAACTTACGCTCTCGCTTAAGTGTAAGGACCTTCTGGAAGTGGAAATTGTGAATCTCCACGTCCGTCTTTCCATTCATAGCCCGGCTATGGACGAATACATCGTCAAAGTAACTCGGTGCGAAGTCACGCACCAGTCGAAACAGATTCGTATCACATCTGTTGACCGTTGCAGGGGCGTTACTTAGCCCCTGTGGTATCACTAGCCACCCCCAGAGCATACCACTCCGGGTACTCACTGCTGTGTACGGGATGTCCCGTCCACGCATGCGGATCTGATAGAATCTATCCGTCAGATACATGGACTGAAAAGATGGTACTTTTTGCCATACCATTAATGATGACGTCCTTCCTCGGTATCGGCGTCCGAGCCGGTACCGTTGCAACGTCCACTTTGTTTAACGCGTGCACTATCCGCCATCCTCCTGTGGCCTTTCGCACACAGAAGGTCGGAGAGCTGTGTGGGGATGTTGTTTCCCTCACATGACCAGCCGCTAAGCAATCGGCACAGAATTTTTCGATCGCTGTGGCCTGTTCACGAGGCAGTGGCCACTGCTTCATGACACAGTACTTCGAACCGGGTTTCAGTTCGATTTATCGTCGAGTGCCTTTGTCCTGGGGCAGCTCGCATGGCACGGATTCAGGTAAAACATTCCTGAAATCGACCAAATCCTTATAGAAGGATTTGTCTTCAAAGTCTCCCAAGATTGAGACATTTATCGCTCAATCCGGGTGCTCTCATCGAGGACACTATCGTCCATCGATGAGCTACTGAGAACCCGTTCGTTCTCAGCAAACACTTGTGCCGACCGAATATCGGCGACGTACTCGTCCTATGTGACGAGTACGCAGATCTGCTTGACCTTGTCACTATGCAGATCTCGCAAGAATCTTTTAGATTCTAGCGTTGGCAACTTGATTACCTCCGAAGATGAGTTCGGAGGTGTAACCAGATCAAGTGTATATGCTTCTACACTTGATCCGTCATTCACCAAGACATTCACTGTCTCGGTGATTTCCTGGGAAAACACATCCGCAGGTGGTAAGGGATCCACACCCTCAACATTACTGTCTCGGGAGTTATTACTCTCAGGAACGCTGGTCTTCCGTTACGAGTACTACCACAGTCACGTCCTCTTCGATTGACTATCTTTCAGTCGAACGGGTTTGCTCTACGATCGACTCTCTGATAGTCGATCTCGCTTCGACGTGTTGTTCATCCTGAATAACACTAATCTCTCTTCTCGGATGCACCCTTCCTGGTATGCATCCGTGTTCCAGTCCACTCGATCTCTTCAAGTGGTGAGCCTTCGGCAAAGCCTGTGTCTCTACACAGGTGCCGGAAGCTGGTTCCACAGTGCAGTGGCCTTCTACACTGTGATCGTGTGCATTCATGATAACGACCGTACCACAAGTGAGGCCATCGCACTCACTCGTAGTACACCCACACGCTTGTGGAAGCTCCAAGACGTTCACCAGATGGCCATCTAATGAACAAACGGCAGGCATCTTCACGAATCGATGCTGCCAGCTGATCTATGGCTGTTACTTTCTAAGTCATGTCAGACCGAGGATGACATCAAATTTCATTTAGATCCAGTACGATGAAGCCATCATTGTACTGCCTTCCTTCTAGTGTGTAGTAGATTCTCCCTACACGTTTGTTCTCTGTTACGGATGCTCCTGTAGCAAGTCCCACCGTCATCCTCGTTGGAGGGAACTCTGGCTCAACATAGTTGAGCCTACTATCCTCTAGCGACTGGCGTCGAAAAAATCTGTTCAACGCCCCAAAGTCAACTAGGGCGCGAAGTGATATTCCACTTGTCACTTCGATCTTCAAAGTGATGAGGTACACCTCATCACTAGGGGCAGTAACACACAGCGACTGTGGGTTGGGATCAATCTTCGTCAAGATTCCTGCAAATTCTCTTGACGTTGCTGGATCAGCAGGGAGAACCACCCCTACTGACCCTGAGCGTTTCTTGACGGTCCGACTTGCTGTTGCGGCTTAGCGACATGGTCGGACCCTCGCCTTGGACCTTTCCTCAGCCAACGGTGGTCATCACGTTCTCTGGACGTGATGCGGTGCTTGGACACTACACTCATGAGAGTTGTGTCCAGTCTTCTGACAGCGATGTCATCTTGCCGCTCGATTGTGACTCAGAGAGCGAGGGTTCTCGCTCCCGATGTAATAGAGGTCCATGGGCTCGAGACCTCCTGTTTCCTGTCGCTCGTCGGACGATAGTTTGACGAGTTAGCCTGAAACTGTCTCAGGCTGAAGTCTTCTTGTTCCGCATACACTATCGCATTTTCCAGCGTATGGAAGTCCTCTTGGAACATGTAGGTCTTCACCGAACCATCTACAAGACCGTAGATGAACACGTTGATGAGCGTGTGCTCATTAACAGGATTCTCCGTGACGCTACTCGCAAGGTTGCGCATGTGTTGTGCGTAAGCGTGCACGTCACGCTTACCTTGCTTGAACCTTAAGAGTGCAGAGCGTGCTCTAAACTCGGCTCTCGGCGGCTCAACGTCTCTTTGAGCCGAAACTTCAAGATATCCAACGACTCAAACACTTTAGGTCGTGAAGCTTGAGCCCTAAGGCTCAAGTCTTTGCTCTTCCTGTCAAATTTGACAGGGCGAAGGTGACTTGCATCTCGTCACCCCCGATGTGACGGGCTCTGATGGCGTCGTCTAACTCGACAAATACCAATCTCAAAAGATAATCTGCATTGGTTCCCTCGTACCTTGAGATATCGATCTTCAAGGTTTCGGGTCGACGCATATGCGTCGTCCCGCCCATCGACTGATGAGAGCCTTGCTGCTGTAGCAAGGCTATCTTCTGTCGTTCGACGGCAAGTTCCCCTTGTAGTAACTTGTTGATAGTAGCATGTTGCTGTTATCTGCTTCGAGACTCCAACGTGCCACTGATGGCGGGTTCGCCCATGAGCACGCTCATGCAGTCAACTACCTCCCATTGTTGTCACTCATATGTGAGTAGCCTTCACGTGTGACGTGAAAGCTGTCGTCTTCAACGTCCAACATTTTCATGTTGGACGGACTACGAATTGCTACCAGGTGTAACAAGGCACCCTTTGTTTGGGGTGACGCGAACTTCACGTACACTAGTCCGTGCAGAGGAAGCTAATCTACGTGAACGACTCGGTCAAGTAAAGGTCAAAACAGAACTGTATTTAATATAGCTAGGCTATCAGTACAGCTTTAATCTTTATTTAACTATATTAAAGTACGCCGTCGTTTGACGACAACCTGCTCACCACTCATTGCGCGCGTCTAGCAGCGATTGGTGGCAATCGATGGTTGGTATGTCTTTTATCAATCAATCTTTGAGCAGCGCATGAATATATTCCTAAAAGGTCTTGATATTCCTTCAATATTATCCATCTCGGATAATATTGGTAGAATAATTGTATGCTAGACAATATTCCTATTGACACCGTTTGGTGTCAATGTCATTCATCGAGCCAACACGTTACACAATTTGTTTCGTATGCTTTAGCTTGTGCTCTCAAACCGCGATCTTCTTGTTGCAAGGTTGCAATGAGTTGCATCGTGAGTATGAAGGTGAGGTTATACTTAGGTGCGCAAATCAACCCGCTACAATCCGGTCTGATAGTAACGAGCTGCATCAAATCTATATGAGCATATTGTGTAACGGGGTAGCCCGTTACATGACATTGACACCAAACGGTGTCAATAGGAATATTGTCTAGCATACAATTATTCTACCAATATTATCCGAGATGGATAATATTGAAGGAATATCAAGACCTTTTAGGAATATATTCATGCGCTGCTCAAAGATTGATTGATAAAAGACATACCAACCATCGATTGCCACCAATCGCTGCTAGACGCGCAATGAGTGGTGAGCAGGTTGTCGTCAAACGACGGCGTACTTTAATATAGTTAGATAAAGATTAAAGCTGTACTGATAGCCTAGCTATATTAAATACAGTTCTGTTTTGACCTTTACTTGACCGAGTCGTTCACGTAGATTAGCTTCCTCTGCACGGACTAGTGTACGTGAAGTTCGCGTCACCCCAAACAAAGGGTGCCTTGTTACACCTGGTAGCAATTCGTAGTCCGTCCAACATGAAAATGTTGGACGTTGAAGACGACAGCTTTCACGTCACACGTGAAGGCTACTCACATATGAGTGACAACAATGGGAGGTAGTTGACTGCATGAGCGTGCTCATGGGCGAACCCGCCATCAGTGGCACGTTGGAGTCTCGAAGCAGATAACAGCAACATGCTACTATCAACAAGTTACTACAAGGGGAACTTGCCGTCGAACGACAGAAGATAGCCTTGCTACAGCAGCAAGGCTCTCATCAGTCGATGGGCGGGACGACGCATATGCGTCGACCCGAAACCTTGAAGATCGATATCTCAAGGTACGAGGGAACCAATGCAGATTATCTTTTGAGATTGGTATTTGTCGAGTTAGACGACGCCATCAGAGCCCGTCACATCGGGGGTGACGAGATGCAAGTCACCTTCGCCCTGTCAAATTTGACAGGAAGAGCAAAGACTTGAGCCTTAGGGCTCAAGCTTCACGACCTAAAGTGTTTGAGTCGTTGGATATCTTGAAGTTTCGGCTCAAAGAGACGTTGAGCCGCCGAGAGCCGAGTTTAGAGCACGCTCTGCACTCTTAAGGTTCAAGCAAGGTAAGCGTGACGTGCACGCTTACGCACAACACATGCGCAACCTTGCGAGTAGCGTCACGGGAGAATCCTGTTAATGAGCACACGCTCATCAACGTGTTCATCTACGGTCTTGTAGATGGTTCGGTGAAGACCTACATGTTCCAAGAGGACTTCCATACGCTGGAAAATGCGATAGTGTATGCGGAACAAGAAGACTTCAGCCTGAGACAGTTTCAGGCTAACTCGTCAAACTATCGTCCGACGAGCGACAGGAAACAGGAGGTCTCGAGCCCATGGACCTCTATTACATCGGGAGCGAGAACCCTCGCTCTCTGAGTCACAATCGAGCGGCAAGATGACATCGCTGTCAGAAGACTGGACACAACTCTCATGAGTGTAGTGTCCAAGCACCGCATCACGTCCAGAGAACGTGATGACCACCGTTGGCTGAGGAAAGGTCCAAGGCGCGGGTCCGACCATGTCGCTAAGCCGCAACAGCAAGTCGGACCGTCAAGAAACGCTCAGGGTCAGTAGGGGTGGTTCTCCCTGCTGATCCAGCAACGTCAAGAGAATTTGCAGGAATCTTGACGAAGATTGATCCCAACCCACAGTCGCTGTGTGTTACTGCCCCTAGTGATGAGGTGTACCTCATCACTTTGAAGATCGAAGTGACAAGTGGAATATCACTTCGCGCCCTAGTTGACTTTGGGGCGTTGAACAGATTTTTTCGACGCCAGTCGCTAGAGGATAGTAGGCTCAACTATGTTGAGCCAGAGTTCCCTCCAACGAGGATGACGGTGGGACTTGCTACAGGAGCATCCGTAACAGAGAACAAACGTGTAGGGAGAATCTACTACACACTAGAAGGAAGGCAGTACAATGATGGCTTCATCGTACTGGATCTAAATGAAATTTGATGTCATCCTCGGTCTGACATGACTTAGAAAGTAACAGCCATAGATCAGCTGGCAGCATCGATTCGTGAAGATGCCTGCCGTTTGTTCATTAGATGGCCATCTGGTGAACGTCTTGGAGCTTCCACAAGCGTGTGGGTGTACTACGAGTGAGTGCGATGGCCTCACTTGTGGTACGGTCGTTATCATGAATGCACACGATCACAGTGTAGAAGGCCACTGCACTGTGGAACCAGCTTCCGGCACCTGTGTAGAGACACAGGCTTTGCCGAAGGCTCACCACTTGAAGAGATCGAGTGGACTGGAACACGGATGCATACCAGGAAGGGTGCATCCGAGAAGAGAGATTAGTGTTATTCAGGATGAACAACACGTCGAAGCGAGATCGACTATCAGAGAGTCGATCGTAGAGCAAACCCGTTCGACTGAAAGATAGTCAATCGAAGAGGACGTGACTGTGGTAGTACTCGTAACGGAAGACCAGCGTTCCTGAGAGTAATAACTCCCGAGACAGTAATGTTGAGGGTGTGGATCCCTTACCACCTGCGGATGTGTTTTCCCAGGAAATCACCGAGACAGTGAATGTCTTGGTGAATGACGGATCAAGTGTAGAAGCATATACACTTGATCTGGTTACACCTCCGAACTCATCTTCGGAGGTAATCAAGTTGCCAACGCTAGAATCTAAAAGATTCTTGCGAGATCTGCATAGTGACAAGGTCAAGCAGATCTGCGTACTCGTCACATAGGACGAGTACGTCGCCGATATTCGGTCGGCACAAGTGTTTGCTGAGAACGAACGGGTTCTCAGTAGCTCATCGATGGACGATAGTGTCCTCGATGAGAGCACCCGGATTGAGCGATAAATGTCTCAATCTTGGGAGACTTTGAAGACAAATCCTTCTATAAGGATTTGGTCGATTTCAGGAATGTTTTACCTGAATCCGTGCCATGCGAGCTGCCCCCAGGACAAAGGCACTCGACGATAAATCGAACTGAAACCCGGTTCGAAGTACTGTGTCATGAAGCAGTGGCCACTGCCTCGTGAACAGGCCACAGCGATCGAAAAATTCTGTGCCGATTGCTTAGCGGCTGGTCATGTGAGGGAAACAACATCCCCACACAGCTCTCCGACCTTCTGTGTGCGAAAGGCCACAGGAGGATGGCGGATAGTGCACGCGTTAAACAAAGTGGACGTTGCAACGGTACCGGCTCGGACGCCGATACCGAGGAAGGACGTCATCATTAATGGTATGGCAAAAAGTACCATCTTTTCAGTCCATGTATCTGACGGATAGATTCTATCAGATCCGCATGCGTGGACGGGACATCCCGTACACAGCAGTGAGTACCCGGAGTGGTATGCTCTGGGGGTGGCTAGTGATACCACAGGGGCTAAGTAACGCCCCTGCAACGGTCAACAGATGTGATACGAATCTGTTTCGACTGGTGCGTGACTTCGCACCGAGTTACTTTGACGATGTATTCGTCCATAGCCGGGCTATGAATGGAAAGACGGACGTGGAGATTCACAATTTCCACTTCCAGAAGGTCCTTACACTTAAGCGAGAGCGTAAGTTGTTCGCGAACCTCAAGAAGTGTATATTCGCAGCGAAAGAAATGCTACTTCTTGGCTGCATCGTGGGTAAAAACGGCGTACGCCCTGATCCGGAAAAGATCGAGGTGATTAGCGACTGGCCTGTGCCAGTTGACGTCAAGTGACTTTGAAAGTTCCTTGGCTTGGCGGCGTACTTGCACAAGTACTCGCGTAACTACGCCGAGATGACCGTACCTCTCTCTCGTCTGCTAAAGAAAAACGAGAGGTGGTCATTAAGTGCTGAGTGTCAGCACTCCTTTGAAGTTATCAAGAAAAGTTTGATACAATCGCCTGTGTTGGCGATTGCAGACAGGACAGACCATACCATGTGGTCTGTGACGCCAGCGATTTTGCAATCGGCTGCGCGTTAATGCAGTACGACTCAGACGGCGTTGAGCGCGTCGTCTGTTATCAATCGCGTCAGCTGCAAGCAGCTGAGGTTAATTACCCCGTGCATGACAAGGAGCTCCTTGCCATGAAATGTGCACTGGCCAAGTTTCTGGTATATCTCTTAGGAGAAAGGCCCTTCATCGTTTACACCGACCATGCGTCGTTACGCACGGCCGTAAACAGTCCACACCTCTTGCAACGAATGGCGAGGTGGCTTTCTTTCTTCGCGGAGTACAACTTCTCCGTCATGTATAAACCCGGACGACTTAATGTCGTCGCTGATGCTCTTTCGCGTCAGCCCGATTTCGAACCGACTGCTCAACACCACAGTAGGGGTGATCCCACTGTAGCAACACTAACAGTGAGTGTTCCGTCGTCGAATCTGCTCGACGACGTGCGAAAAGCATACACAGAAGATGAGTCCCTTCTGCGATTGATGTATTACGTGTCCAATCCATGCAGTCATACTTTGAAAAGTTTGTCGTCTCAATACCGCTCTTCAACCGAACGGTATTCGGTTCGTGATGGACTGATGTACTATACAGCAGTCAACGGTGACACACCTCGTGTCGTCGTTCCGGCTCATAATGATTTGCGATTGGGCATCATGTATGGGTGTCACGATGCCCCAACAAGTGGGCATCACGGTAGAGAAAAGACTTGCCTCACGGTAAGTCGTGACTTCTACTGGCCCCGCCAATGCAATTTTGTGCGCAAATACATTCGCGCTTGCAAAGTTTGCCTGCGGGTGAAGCCTAGTCCTTCATCCCGTGCACCCTTTCAGCCTCTACCGATCCCGGCAGAGTGTTGGCAGTCCGTATTGATGGACTTCGTCTTTTGGTTTCCCAAAGACGCTCACAAGAATACTGGTATTCTTGTGTTTGTTGATCGATTCAGCAAGATGGTACATCTTGTTGCTGTACCGGAGTCGATCACAGTCCAGGGCTGTGCTCGTGTCTGTGTTAATACAATCTTCCGCCTTCACGGGTTATCCCGTGAACTCGTGTCTGACAGGGACCCCCGCTTCACAGCGGAATATTGGCAATCCGTGTTCCGTTCCCTTGGAACTCGGTTGAAGATGCCAACTTCTGACCATCCAGAAACAGATGGTCGGATGGAACTCGTCAACCGCGTCCTCGAAGAGATACTTCGAGGGTATGTCCACTCGTTTACGAGTTGGAGAGTTCTTGCCGATGCGAAATTCGCCATACACAATTAGGTGCATGCGTCTCAAAGCATACCCCATTCTTCGTGAATAGCCTACGCCATCCACGTTTACCCGCCTTCTTAGAGTGTGACTCTAGTTTGGGGGGTGGACTCGCTCGAACAAAACCCGATCTAATTCTTGCTCATCACCCGTCGACAATGGTGTCGACGTGATGGATGACCGATAACGATGCGATCGATATCGATGATGATGATGACGACGATGCTGGAATATTCAGCATCGCCAATGACTGCCAAAGTGAGGACGATGACGCCCACACTGATGAAGTCAACGTTCTTTCAGCAGTGCACACGAAGCGCACTGCCGTTGACATGGATGAATCAGCAGAGGAACTTCAGTTGACTCGCGAAGCGGTTGTCCGCTTCGTTCAAGACTCTATTGCAGATGCAATAGACAAGCAGTAATGAAACGCCGACAAACATGGAAGAGCAAATGCTCTTTCATTTGACGAAGGAGACTTAGTTTTACTGTCTACAGTAAAGCTACCGAAACACGCATTGTCAAACTTGGGCAGTAAATTACTACACAAGTATATTGGTCCATTTCGTGTGTTGCGCCGAATGAGCAACGCATACACGATTGAACACCCCGTAAGATGCGTACGCATCCTACGTTTTACGTTGAGCTTCTCCGCCCGTAATAACAGTACGATTCCGTTTCGAGATGCGAAGAACACCTCCGCGGTCGAGGGCTGAGACCACCTTCGAGGTGGTCCCGTTTCAACGAGCCAGTCTGGTCGACTAGCGAAGCGACCTGCTCACGAAGTTGAGCGATGCCTTGACGAGCTGCAGCCATCTCGTCACGAAGAGAAAGAGTCGAACGTTCGTTCTTAAGTTGTGCGAAAGCAAGCGTGGCACAATCGCTCGAGCGATCGTGCGCTAAGGAAATGTAACTATCCTTTACAAGGTCATGGAGCTCATAGCGCCGAGACCGTTCATGAGCCAGGTCATCTTGCAACTGTTCCGTTAGACGGTTCAGCTCTTGAACATCAAGTTGATCCGACCCTCGAGCCGGATCAGGTGTTCCCGCCACCACCACATCCTTTGGTAGACTCAAGCGGTGGCCAATGCTTCCTAGTGAAGCGTATTTTTAACCACCGCGACGTGAATGGCTTTTGCATCGGCCTAGGACAGCTGGGAGACTCGTGCCCAGCTGATTGTTGATGTCCTTGGTTTCGTCGAGCAGTACGACGAGACCCACCTGCTGCGTTTGAAGAAGGGCCGTCAGAAAACGACCTCCCCGAACGCGAGTACAGGGATTGCAAAGTATCAATCCCTTCGGTCATCTCAGAAGAGATGCGTGCCCTCCAGTAGGGATCATTAGGGAGGCAGGCCTCCCTAGGGGCACGGTTCGAGTTGTCCAGGCAACCTGGATACAAATCACCCCACGAGAGATAGGGTAATCCTGCCTCTCTTGACAGCCGGTGCAACTTGTACCGTACACCGACTGGGTTGCGTTTCTCAAACCGGATGCAAACTGCATCAAGTTTGGCGAGCCAAGCCTCACGGGCCTATGCACTCGATGTTGTGGTTGAGGGCATTCCATCCTTGCACCAAGTCCTTAAAGTCTCGGCCACGGTTGGCCACGTTGTCGTTGTACCGCCGATGTTTGAACAACACAACGGTCAAGAATTTGTTTGGAAACACATCGGTGAAGAATTCTTCCCCAGCATGGATAGTTTCCGTGCTGGAATTAAAAGGACAGTTTCTCCTGCAGTCAGACAGCGAGATTCGATCCCGTTCATTGGTCATACTGGTCACTCAATCTAACGCCTTGGATGGTGGAATAAAATGCTCTACTTGTGGAGCATGGCGCGGGACATTGCGGTCCCTGACTGATTGTGTGGTGTCAGCATGAGCACTCACACCAGTATCAGCTCAATCTCTCGAGCTGCTTCTATTTTGGTGACGTATAGGTGTGTCACTACCATCACCACGCGTCCTGGTGTCAGATGGACTTGCGTGAGGCGCAGATTTGTCAGAAGAATCACTCGATCCAAAGATCTCGAGCATGATGCCGCCACGTTGACTGGCTCTGGCAGTGTCCGCTCCGGGGTCATCCGGAGGCAGAAGGCGCCGCCTTCGACTCAGAACGATGCGGTCCGACGCAGTCGTCGATTGAGCGCGAGCGGATCTTTCTGCCCTTCGTGTCTCGCACACCGTTCGATTTTCTACTCTTTGACCTGTATCTGAACAGCATCGACGCAACCACATTGTGTGCACCTCTTGGCTGCCGTTTGGCTAGGAGAGACAAAGGCGCGTTAATAGAGTGCACGTGTGCAAAAAGCAGGGGTCAATACCAGACGAAAGCAGCTCGTGGGCGCGGTAGCTGGCGGAAACAGTTGGAGCTCATCGCTTGCAGCCACACTTGCTTTGTTAGGAAGAGACAGCATCTTTTATTTATTTTACTTCTATTGACACGCGTGCGGGTCACAATGGCTTTAGAAAATGTCCAGTCTTTCGCCACGTCGATCTGGGATCTGACCTGACCTGGACCTGACCCTCCCTGTTGTATATCTACTGAAACGTTTGCCAAATTCACTCGAAAGACGCTCTTCCATTGGCGCAGACCATTCCATCCGCCTCTGGACGATTGGCCGAAACGAATCTCAGAACGTGGAAGTTTTATTTTCTCGAAGATTTCTTTGGCCCTGAAGGGATGCATGAAGAACGCAGAATGCTCCATGACAAGAACGAGTCTGACGCGAGCAGCACCAGCAGTAGTAGTAGCAGCAGCAACAGCAGTGACTCGTCGCGTTCTTCCAGCTCAACGGACGGTCCGAGCGTGTCCCTGTCACTCGTTGAAAGGCCTCAGCAACTCTCAGCGTTTAAGTGCATTCCTCGTGTGGGTCCAAAAATGGACTTTTGCGACAGTTTCGATCGGGACACGAACAATCAGGACAAGATGGCTACACGCCAAGCGTCGCTCGTTGCGTGTCAAGAAGAGCCAGAGCACGAGCAAACCCTCAAGTGGCAACCGCCCCTCTCGAGTTGCTCGATGGAAGAAGGCCCATTGATTACGAAGCACGCGGACAAGGCCGCCGTGCCGACATTTAAACGGCGAAACGTGGGGGTGCCCAAGCTTTTGAGATTTTGTTTCAAATTCTAGAAGAAGAAGATCCCGTCATAATCACGTGGTCACATGAAGGAACAGCGTTTCAGATCAACCAGCCGGACGACTTGGCGACTCAGATCTTACCCAAGTACTTTAAACATAACAAGGTGTCGAGCTTCCAGCGCCAGTTGAATTACTTTGGGTTCAAAAAGTGGACCAAGACGCAGACCAACATTTGTACCTTCAGTCATCCCTTCTTCTACCGTGCCGACAAGGACAAGATGAAGCTCATTAAACGGAAAGAACGAGCACATGCAGCAGCTGCTTCGGGCTTTTCAGCTCCGTTGACGACCACGATCGATCTGGAATCCATTGATGATCCAAAGACAAGCCACGACCACGAACTCGCTCCAGGACCGATTCAGGTTCCTTTTGAAGCTTACGATCTAGCTGGCTGCCCACAGAGTCAGCTACCAACGCAGCAAGCACTAAAGAGACAAAAGTCCACGACTCTTTCTGGTGCAACGGTGACGTTCCTGAAGTCAGGAGCTGCTGGACGTCGTCACTCGACAGGAATGCTCCTGGCTCAGAAGCTTTGGGCTTGGCTGCAGCAGCAGCGGCTGCTGCTGCTTCGGGGGCAGCACCTTCAGCTATAGCAGACAATTTTGTACTAGGACGTAAGCGCGTTGGAACACCCGCAGAACAGGAGTTTGAGCTGGAGATGGAGGCTCGATCGCACGTAGTGACGAACTCACCGCCAGGGCCACAGATGTCCCGTGCACATGAGAAAAATTGTGGAGCACCAAGAGCTGTCGCAGCATTATTCGTATCCTCCTGCTCAGGGGAAATGGCAGAGTCTTCCTCACGTTTTGGCTCCAGGCTTTGGGAATGCTTTTGGCATCGGCATGAATAACAGTGTAAATGGAATGGGAGGTGGCAATTTTGGGGCTCGCAGCGCCAATATACTCAGTCGACGCAGGAGTGACCAGGGTCGAGCCGACCATGACAATTTTGACACTGCTTTGGGCAACGGATGTAGCCGGTTGGAGAACTTGATGTCGTCCTCGTCGAAATCAGCATTTCAGCAGACGGCAGTCCTTCCCATTTCGTCTGAATTGGCTCACAATGCGGATCTGCAGCAGCAGTGGCAAATACGACTACAAGGTGGTCAGCAACAACAATCGGGCAGAGTGACTGGATACGGCGTCAAGTCTCGCTCTAGCAGCGAATGGTCAGCTTCCATGAAGTCTGAAGACAACAACGGATGGCTAACATCGATTAATACGAATGCAGGCTCGGTCGGAAGCTCACTGTATGCGACTCACTCACAGAGTCGTTACGATGCCAATGTCTTTTCTTGCCAAGAGGCTCAAGTGCACCATCTATAGTCGATCCGTCTTTCACGGTAGCGCGTCAATGGATCATCTGCACACAGCGTCTGCAGATGACAGGAAGCTTCAGCTACGTGCTCTCATGTCTCATCCCCACGACAATCACTTTCATCAACATCAAGCGACTGCTTACCAACCGCAAGAAAAGCAGCACGAGAAAAAAGAACCACAGTTGATGATTCAGCACCCCCGTGACTATATTGACGTGCTGCTGGAAAACGCTGGGCTGGACGATGGTCTCACTTCACAAAGCTCAACGATGCTTTCGTCCGAGTTGTGGAACGCGCACTCAGAAAGTGAGTCTCGATGCTCAGGGTCAACGGGGTCTTTCGCATTTAGCAGCCAACAAAACGGTATGCAGCAGCTCCAATTGTCTCCGATGGGAGAGATGTCAGAACCAGCCCAACCAGCGTTTCTAAGTGTTACTGGCGAGTCACACTAAAGGTCGTCGTGCGAGTCAATTTTTGTCTCCTATATCGAGGCACGAGTCGGAATTGGGTGCAAATGACCCCCCTCGCGAGATCCTGGAGCA